GAGGAGGAGGAGGAGGAGGAGCTTCGAACACCAGGCGGGTACGGCGACGCGTGAATTGGCTGAGAACATCGACCTCGCCGCAGTCGATGCGTCCTTTCCTCGTGGGCCTTCTTACCACGGCGTCCCGTCCAAGGTTGTGGCGGACGCCCAGTCTGTCCACGTTTCGCCAGCATTGCCTCGATCTCGTTCGTCGGTCCACGCTTCTCCAGGAGAGCCTCGATCTCACTCGTCTGTCCACGTTTTGCCAGGACCGAAACATCAGCAGCACCTGTCTTGGGTCGACCACCTTCTCATACCGCAGTCACATGTACCGCAAGTTCGTCGATTTCAACTGCTGGCGTCGTCACGCAATCCCAAATAGCCGGCCTGGAGATCATGTACCATCATTTCTTGAGCTGCGCTTTCGAACTTGCAAACAAGGTCGTGCACGGTGCCGACGGTGGGATTACGTTGGCTGGGGCAGACTTCGCGATCAAAAATTCTACGCAGACCCTTTCAGGCAGAAGGGAGAGCAGGCAATTCCGTAGTCGATGCAGGTCCACGGGGCCACTGGAGCTTGCACAGTCTGTTTGTTCTCTGGAGGGGGCGTGGGATCTCTTGACTGGACTCCTACAGGAAGTAGGACTGGACACGTTCGAGGCGACTCCAGCTGCGCTCCCTCTTGCACATCAGAAGCTTGCACAGGCTCGGAAAGCTGCATTGATAGCGCAGGGTCAGGCTAGAGCGGCGATGAGTGGGTCATGGAGGCGGTGCTTAGCATGAATATTTCTCGAATCACTCGTAAGGGTCATGCGGTTCGTCGTGAGCTTCTCGAGAATCCCAACTGGCTGAAGAACTGGCGGATGCACAGGCTGGTGGAGTCAGTGCCCAGGGGACTCGATTGCTGTATGGGTCGCGCGCTCCTGGAAAGATGTGGGTGACAAATGCTGAACGCCAGGCCACGTCGATGCCGCCACGCGATTCTGGGTATCTTCTGAGGCGTTCTGGGACGGGGGCCACTCGCACCACTGCTGCACTCACTCGGCGCGCACAGAAGGCACGGATCATAACACTTGACACGAAGCACGACGTGCGCAGTAGCTTCGGAGCGGTCCAGCATTCGCCCCTCGACTCGGCCGTGGCTCGTTTGCACCCGGCTGATGCAGATACTCTTTAACAGCGTTATCGTGCTGCGTGTTTTTTGTATATGCAGACGGTGAGCTTACGGTGCTTCAGAATTCGGAGGGGAACTACATGAGGGCTTCGAATGCCGAGAGTGCTTTTCAGGAGGCTTTTGCTCCACCGATTCGAGTTGCAGGCTGCTCACCACGCAGTGCATCCATCCTCGTTGGAGGGTATGTGTGCAATATCTGGCGATGAATGTGATTTATCTCTTCGAGTATTTACAGATGACGGCAACAAGTCTCACGTTGTCACAGATGTAGCTTCGGCGAAGCAGAGGTCATCCAGTACTCTGACCAGCAATGGAATCCACATATCATCAGTCATGGCGTCGTTCAGCTAGACGGACAAAAAGCAAGTGCTGCCACGCTCTGTCGGACACTGTGCTCATCGTTTCTCTCGTTTTCTCTCGTGCTGTGTTTCAGGGCTCGGGCACGGACGAGCTCCCGTTCTTGGGAGGAGGAGGAGGAGGAGGAGGAGAAGGAGGAGGAGGAGGAGGAGGAGGAGTAGTCCTTCGCGCGAAAGGAGGGGGAGGAGAAGGAGGAGAAGGAGGAGGAGGAGGAGAAGGTGGAGGAGGAGGAGAAGGAGGAGGAGGAGGAGGAGGAGGAGGAGGAGGCTCGTGGAGTGTTTCAGGGTCGTCCCTCCGCTCGTCCCGTTCCTGGGGACGCTGTTCACGCCGACGGGGTCCTTGGCGCCCGAGGGTGCCTCCGAGTGTGCTGCTGTGGCCCGAGGATGGGCCCACATGCGTCGCTTCTGGAAAAAAATGCCTTTCTTGGGGCTGAAAAATGGCCAGCGTCCTCCCTCCTCCTCACTCCTCCCTCCTGCTCCTCCTCCTCCCTCCTCCTCCTCCTCCTCCTCCTCCTCCTCCTCCTCCTCCTCCTCCTCCTCCTGGGCCGTGTTGGAGCCACCTCCTGTCGCTCCTGGCGGTCGGAAAAAATTGCCTTTCTCAGCAACGTGATCGGGGCAGCGGTCTCTGGGCTGGCGGCGGTCGTGCTGTCCGAATCGCGGAAGGCGCGCCTCGATTCTGCCCGTCTTCGCATCTGCGTGCACTGCTTGGTGGCGTCGCCGTGGCCGTGCCTGCGCAGTGTGACGACGGCTCCGGGTCGGTCGTCACCCGTGCCCCTCCTGCTGCTCAGGTTTGGCGTCGTGCAGGCTTGGTCCTCGTAGGCCCTGAGCTCCGCGTGCAGAGGCTGAAAGGGTGGCAGAAGATTGCGCGCCCTCCTGGCTGGCACATCCAGAAGCTCACTGCAGGCTTCGGCTCCTCGGCTCCCTGGACTTCGAGAACCCCGTCGAGTCGCCCTCCCCGTGGTTCCCACGAAGTGGCCCGAGGTCCTCTGATGCATCCTGCACCAATCCCTGGGCTAAGCAGTTCTTCCAGGAGGTTGCATTCAGGAGATTGCACATCTCAGGTGCACGGAGGAAGGGGAGGCGGTGGGGCACTATCTCAACGCCTCCAGGGGCGAGTCGGACGCTTTCGGGGCCTTCCAGAGGTTGGACTTCCAGAGGTATCGTCAGGAGTGGCTCTTACGTGACGAGGTGGGTAGTGGGGTACCTCCGGAGCCTGGGGAACTTGCTGCGGGCGATCACGTCTGCTCTCTCCTCGCCGGCGACGGTCTCGTGTGCGATCGGCGGCTCGGTTCTCGTCGGGCTCTGCTTGTCCACTTGCGCAGGAGAGGCCAGAATCGAATCGATGAGTCGGATCGGCGATCGAAACGAATCAGATCCGAAGAGATTGGCGCCAAGTCGGGCGAAGTCGAACCGGTGGAAATCTTCAGGATAGCAAGGCATCCGTTGAGAAACCCAAGTCCGAATCGGAATCCGAAGTCGAATCAATTCGGAATCGGAATCGACTGAGATCGAATCGAATCGAGCCGGAGGAGTCGAAATGAGCCCTGCCAGCGCCAGGCCTCTGAAGACCAGCACGGCAGTCAGAGCGTGATCTCAAAGCGCGTGGCTACCAGCGAGTGCGCGGCGTGCTCGTCCACGTTTCGTTCGAGAGATGCTGCTGTCAGGCATTTGGTGCATGCGTATCGCCACGGACGGTACGGAGTAGAGTCGCCGCAATCTGATCCGCTTCTTCAAGATCCCGGGGTTCGGGCGTGTCCAGTCTGTCATGACCCGCTTGATCCTCTCGAGCTGCTGCAGCGGCACCTCGCATCATTTCCTCCGCTTCGGACCCCAGAGCTTCGGGGGGGTGTTTTCGGCGGCCCCTGCAGTGAAGCCGTGCCCGCGAGCGGAGGCGACCGTCACCGCCGTCGGGCTTCAGGCGCCGCCGACTCGGGCCGCCACGAGCACCCCGCAGCGAAGAAGACCTCGACCAAGATCGTGGCGGGGCCACTCCTCGTCCTCCTCCTCCTCCTCCTCCTCCTCCTCCTCCTCCTCCTGCTTCTCCTCGTCCTCCTCCTCCTCCTCCTCCTCCTCCCCCCCAGCAGTCGAGAAGATGGATCTGGCCCAGCAGGCCGTGCCAACCTTGACGAAACTGCTTCTCAACGTCACCATGCGTCGGCGGCAGCAGGAGGCGGCGACGCTCGTAACGCTGCTGCTGGCCGAGAAAGCCGTGCCCGTCCAGACGTCTCGCGCACGCGTGCGCGCGTGGGTAGAGAACGCGAACGAGCTGAGGTCGAAGCGACGGGGACCTCGTACGAGGTACGACCTCGTACGAGGTCGAAGCGATGGTATCGATTTGATGTGTGGCACTCGTCGGCCTCGTCGAGGGCCGCCTCGGGGCGGGGTTCGCCGTCGGGGCGCGGAACCGGACCAAGCTGCAGGCACTCGTGGCTGGGCTTCCTTTCGTGAAGGTCCAGAGTGCGCACGGAGCCGTCAGTGTGAAGACTCTCCTCAGCAGCGAAGCTTCAAAGCTTCGCCGAGCGTGTCGATCAGCTGCTCAGAGCAGCTCGGGGCGACGAGGAAGGTCGGCGTCGCTCTCATAATCCACATGGAAGCGGATCTTGCAGACCGCTCCTGGGCGCGGACGACATGGAGTGAATGTTCATGGTGAGCAGGTTGATTTCCTTGACATCTCTGATGTGTGCCGAGCTGATGAGACGCCCCATGGCGATGGGGGCGGCAGCCTGCAGGGGAGCTTCTAGACTTGTCTTGGAAGGCTAGACTTGTCTTGGAAGGCTATGCCGTCGACTTCGACCGGGCACCTTGTTTTGTCTTGGGGCGACAATTTGCCGTCGACGTCTTCTGGGCGCCTGGATCTGTCTTGGGGCAATCTACCGTCGGCTACTACCGAGTACCGCTCATCAGCGGCTTCGTGTGAGGCCCCGCTCGTGGCCATCGTCTCGAATGTGTCGAAGTGGTCCCTCCGTGTTGCTGCTTAGGCCGCCGCTTGCCTCATCTTACCTCGTCCTGGTCGTTCGGGCGTCGGTCTTCTCTTCTTCCTCTTCCTCCTCCTCCTCCTCCTCCTCCACCGCGTAAGAGACCTCGCACGCAGCCCGACGCTGTTGGTTCATTTAAGGACGCTGGCTTCGGGGCAAGTGTGGCAGGGTCTGCGGCGAGACCCCTTGGGTACAAAGACTAGCTGCCGGGTGAAACTCGGGGTTTCAAAACTTTGTGAATTGTGGGCGGGCGGAGGCCCGAAATTGGCGGCCGTCAGGTCGGTCCTAGGGCGCTTTCGTATTTGTCGAAATCACCATATGCCCCGAGAGGTGTCTGTCTATCTGTCTGTCTGTCTGTCTGTCTGTCTGTCTGTCTGTCTGTCTGTCTGTCTGTCTGTCTGTCTGTCCCTTTTCCATCCCCCCTCATCCATCACCACGCATGTATTCCTCCCTCCTTCCTGCCTTCTCCCCCCCTCCCATTCGTGAATTGGCGGATATTTCCGGCCCCCGCCGGGCCACGAGGATGCCGAACGCCAGCGCGTTCATCTTGTACTCCTGGCGCGGAAGGGAGTGGAGTGGAACCCGTGGCAGAGCCAGCACTTGTTCCTAACCCCGGCCTCGCTGGGCCTTTTCGGCCTGAGGACTTTCGGGGCCAGGCCAGCATGAGTATGCGACAAATCCTCCTTACCTGTTGGGGTGAGGACTCCCTGACATGGCTACCCCACGGCCGCTGCTTACTGTTTGGCAGTGCCTCCGCACTTGGGACAAAACCACACGAGCATAGAGGTATGGACCGCAAGGGAGTGGGTCGGGTGCAGCCAGCCCCCCCGACATGAACCCTCACACCCTCAGGGGGGAGGCGATCGCGCCGTCGACGTAGCGAGCTCACTTCCTTGGATAAACCATCCAGAGAGACCCGCACAAAGGCGAAGGCGGACAACTCTCGCTCGGTGCTCATGCTGAGCGACTCGAAGTCTCTCGAGCTCGCCAACTCGCGCGTGCTCGGCGGTAACACCCGCCATTTCATCAACAAACGCATTGGCCGCGTGAAGAGACGAGATGTCCACGCCGTGAGCCACATGAAAATTCAAAGGCCGTGAAATGGGAAAACAATGAACAGCACGGAAACATGCGCAGGCGAACGGTGAACCAACAGCTCGGCAATGGCGGCCCAAATGTGGGTATCGGGACCACATGGGTGGCGGTGTCGCTGTTCATGTCATCCCGACACAACGTAATCACAATCCGTGACAAAGGTGAGAAAATCAAGCTGAACCCACAGCGCCAAGTCGAGACACTTGGGTTCCCTACGAGCCACAATCTGCCTAGGGCCGCTTAAAGGGCCGAACATGCTACCCCAAGACACGGGGATCGAGCGGAAATTGCGAAAGGACGTGATCGCGAGGCCGACGCGGCAAAGCTGAGGGTCATGTGCCTCTGGGCCCCCGCTAACGTCGCCAACAATCTCAACAGGCTGGGCAATCGTCCCTGTGCAGAATATGTCAACTGAGCCTCGCCTGACAACTCGTTCGAGTCCAGGCGTGGACTGGCGTCGCCATTGCACCTGCGCCCCCCGCAGCGGTGGAGAGGCGTCTCGATCCTATCGCGGCGACGGTCACAAATCAAACCACCATCAAAGTTACTGAACTGCTGCGCCTTCCTCTCCGCTGCCCAGCTCCAACCTGCCGCGACCATGGCCATGACTTCAGCAAGGCACCTTCCGCGCGGGAGCTGGGCTACCTGCTGAATGAATGCACGATATGACGACATGTCTGATCCAGCCGCCGAGCCTCCTCCGCAAAAGTGCTTAGCCGCCCGGGCCCAAACCTGCCGCTCGCACGAGATGGTGACATCGGCAAGGAGGGCTTCATGACTACCCAGCTCTCGACCTGGTGCGTAAATTGAATATGGAAGCTGCCTCTCTTCATGTCTATTCGGCCCGACTTGGCGCGGCCAGGTGGATGGGTCCTCGGGTCGCCAGCCTGAGCGATGGAGGCCATGGATATCAGTCGAGACTGGGCCCTTGAGCGAGCGGACCTGTTCTGGCGGCGACTAATCCCCCGCGCCCTGGGCGATGGCTGGCCACGCCTTCCGAGCGCCCGCTCTGATATCGGGAATGTCACGCCGCGCCCCCAACCAATTATCAACGGTCCGAACCGGAAGCAAAATCGCAGGATCAGCGCCAGGAGCGCGAAGGGTCATAATCGCGGCGAAGCGCCTGCCCTTAGCCGACGACACGCAAATCTGGGCGAGACGACGTCGACATTGTGCGAGGTGGACCCCGCGCGAGTCATGCACCTGGCGGCCATTGCCCCCCCCCGAGGAGACCGCCCTGGCGCTGCAGCTTGGGCGGGGCCCGGCATTGTTGGGGGACACGTGTAAGCCCCGGAATCTTCCAAGCTCATCAACTTGTGCTTCCGCGCGCGCTGGGCCCCGATGGCCCCGCCTCTGCGGTCGCCGGCAAAATCAATGCCCAGGTGAGCAGCTTGCGCAACTGGTTTGACTGTGTACTCTGCCTGCCTAGCCCGTCGCGCCACTGCCCGAGCATCGCCCACGCGCGCAAATGACGACGGACTCGGCGGCAACTCTTGGACGCTGCTGTTGCGACTCCTCACGCGCGGTGATGATCGCCTCAGCCAGATCTCCCGACTGCTCGGCTCGCACCCTTGACCGCCCCAGAAACATCAATCCATATGCGTAGCCCAAGACGTGGATGGACTGTCGCACCATTGACCATGGCACGATGAATCGCCATCCCGCGAACCGCGCGCCCGCCCTGAGACCGCGGATAAGGCCCATGGACACGTCGAAAAGGCACGGGGAAATCACCCCCCTGCTCGGCGACTCCAGGGGCGACGCACTGCAACACCTCGAGGTAGAGGATAGCGGGGGGGAAGTCCCGAGCAAGAGCGGCCTTCGCTCGGATGCCCCGCGGGACGCTGTCGTAAATGATTCCGCACCGAGCACGCCATGCCCGCAAGGCGCGCCCGCGCGATGCGCGAGCCCCTGGTAACAATGAAAAACGCCTCCTGGAGGCGCGAATTGCCTGGGGGCGCCGCGCCCTAGGACGCGGCGCTGTCTGCGGACGACGACTGGGCACTTGGCTCGCAGATGAGCGACCGCCCCGGCCCGGCACGCCGACGAGACCGATCGCGCTATCTCCCGAGCACTCACTGACGGCCTGGGCCAGCGCTGGCCAGGCCAGCGACGTCTCAATGGCCTACAGGACGAGTAGCAGCCGAGCCTGCCCCTTGAAGGGGATGCGCTCAAAGTCCAGCGCCGTGAGCACGTCGAAGTCTATGCCGCCCGCCTTCGCCTTCATCGTAGTCGCAGCCGTGGTGATGTCCTCCAAGCTCATCTGGAGTGGAGGTCCATCCTCGGCCGTGGCCCGAATGCGTCTGCAAAGGTCGCGAATGTCCGTGGCCTTGGGCGGCTAAGGCGCCCCCGTGGCCGGGTGTCTCCTCGCCTCCAAGACTGCGACATCGCGCGGGTCATCGGTCGCGCCGTCACCTTCAATCACCCCCTCTGGAGGCAACCTGCCCGCATTGAGGGACTTCTGTAGGATGCCGTTCGCCGCGGGCTCGACCGCCCACAGACGAAACTCCGAGGCGGGCCCCGGCGCTGCCGTGCTCTGGGCCCTCTGCGTCACCGCTATCTTGGCTGACGCAGCGCGACTCCAGCAAGTGGTCGGGGACGCCGTCGGGATTGCGTAGTGGAGCAAGCCGAAGCTGCCAAGGCAGACCATTGCTATCTCTCAGCAACTTGCGGGCGCCATCTGGCCGCGGCCCCAGCGCCTGGCGAGCCGCGTCTTGATGCTGCCCCAATTGCTTTGGACCGTTGGCTCGGGCCCGATGTCTCTATCCCCGCCAAAATGGCGCGGCCCTGGATCCACGGCTGGGCGCGGCGATCTCGAAAGTGGGCGGCGCGTCGGCGCGCCGTCCGGCGCGCCCGGCGCGCCGGCCCCGAGGCGAAGGCCGGGCCTGCTGCGCGCCGCGCCCGAGACGCCCGGGCCCCGCGATGCCGAGCGATGCTGCGCTCGAGCGCGGAGACCCACGCCGCCGACACTCCCGAAACATCAGAAGAGCGTTGAGCTTCGAGCCGAAACGCAACGGAGCGGAGGAGATGGGGAAAGATGCCGCCCGGGCAGTCCTGCTCCAGGGGCGAAGCCGACTTCTCTACGATGCGTGATCGACCCAAAGGCAACGAGGAAGTTTCGACGACGTGCCCCAGCGCCAGTCGCCGCCCGGGGCAACGGGCGACACCCGGGGAACCCCGAGGTCGCTAAACTGGGCATCTTGTGGGGGGGGGGCTGGCCCGAATTAGCTGCCGCGGCTCGCCCCGGGCGCTGGCGCCAGTTCCCGGGCCCTCGGCGGAAGGCGACGTGCGAGACGAGCCTTCCAGCGCGCGCCCCCGCGCGCCTTCGGGGAGGATTGAGGTCCTGATCCGGCGGGCCCTCCTCGTTCTCCTCGAACAACCGACAATCGACCATCGAATCGTCGGCTGCGTCCTGAGGGGTTCGGTCGGCGCCCTCGCCGAGCCCGGGGGGGCCCGCGAAACCCAAAACAAAGAAACAATCCCCCGGGGCCCGGGGGCCCGAGGGGGGGGCCGCGAGCGAGCGGGCGAAGAGTCCGAGGCCCGAAGAATAAAAGTCCACTATGAGCCCATGGTGGTGCTTCCACGAGACCGAGCTAAAAACGCTCACTTTTGCACGACTGATGGCGCGAGCGGAGACCGCGCGAGGCGATCGAGCAGCGCGTCCCGCCCCGTCTTGTTCGCGCACGCGCCCGCAGGTCCTGCGGCGCGAATCGCACCGTTCAACCTCTGAACGCATTGACTGCGGCACGATGCAGATGGTTCCGTCGTGAAGCCCACGATAATCCAATACAGAGAGAACGCTTGCAGCAGGCCGCCCAGTCGCCGAAAACGAACGAAATTGTCGCCCGTCGCCCCGACGCTGGGCAGAGCGCGCACTGTGACCAGCACCGCCGTGAAGCCACCGAAGTGGAACACCATAGGGCGAAAGACATCCAACGCGGCGCGATCCGACTCGCAGAGATGAGCTGCTGCGACGTTAACCTCAGGCAAGGCGCGTGCATGAAGGTGGCGTCTAGCAGAACAGATTTCCTCGCCCTCGTTGGCCCCTGCCTCGTTCGCGACCGCGGTGACTCTGGAGGAGGGCCTGGCGAGGTTGCAGTGAAAGCGGAGATGCTGATCTCTGGTCTCTTCTTGTCCCAATCGCGGAGCTCATCGCCATCGCGCACGTGCGTTTCCACGAAAGACCAAAACAGGTGCAACTTGAATGTTGGTTGAAGGCGTTGCCGGACCTTCTCGGCGAAGGCAATCGCACTGGCAAAGAACAACGTCGCCGATCTCTCATCGCACGAAGGCTGGCGGCCATCTCCTAGCGATAGTCATTCGGCCTGGGCCCCTGCACGCAGTGGGTCTGCGCCTTTGCCTCTGCCCGAGGTGGTGCCCTGAATCGGGCCCTACTTGGAAGATGCCGTCGTCGCTCCCGCTGCATTGGTCCTCTGCATTGCGTAGATCATGCTGGCAAAGATCTTGGCTGCGCCCGCCTCCACGCGCGCGCGGGCGGCCTCCTCTGCCCGCGCCGCCTCGGCGTCAGCGGCGCGCGGACGGGCCTCGCGGCCGGGCGCGGCCCCGCGGGCCCCATCGGAGCGTCCTCTGCGGCAGCCGCCGCGCGTCTTCTGAAACCTGTCTGTGATCTCCTGCTTGTAGCGCTGCGCCTGCTCGAGCCATGCCTTGATTTCCGCCTCCTTGCCAAGATGTCAGTCTCGACGCCGACGAGCTGCTGCTTCAAATCCTCAGGCACCTGCCTCTCGGTCTCAGCGTCTCAACGCACTCCATTCCGCCCAGCGAATTGAAGAAAGCTTCGTCCCATTCCATGGTGAACATTGCCCGCGGCTGGGGCGTCGCGGATGGGGCAGGTGGCGCCCGCCGCGCGCGCAAGCCTCAGCGGTCAGCTTCTTGGCCGTGTTCGGCTCCACCAAGGCAGCCGCTGCGAGCTTCTGATTGCTCCTTGCGGCCTCAAAGCTGGCCTCCAATCTCACTGCGTTCTCGACGCACTGGTCGTGGTGGTGCTCGGCATTCTTCCATGCACCTTCAACCTTCTCACGGCCTCACTCGGAGACGTGGTCGGGGAGGCCGCCGTCTGACACTGTTGTGTATTGTCGATCTGGGCCTGCAGGGCACGCTGGAGCGCCGCATCCTCCGTGGCCGGCACAGCCTGCTCCCAAGAGAATCGTGACCGTCTCGTCGTTGCCCTTGCCCTTTGGGCCCTTGCGCCGAGGCGGCTGGCTGCGGTGGCGCTATAGTTGGGCGCCCTCGGGTGCAGCCTCCTACTCCGCCTCCTGGGCAAGCCGGCCTATCGGACACGATGCTCGGCGGAGGCGGACCGATTGAAAAACAGCAGCGGGCGTTTGCAGCTTGAGCACCTGCAGCCGTTTCCTGCCAGGATGCGGTTCCCCTCGCATGCGCGGCGCTGGGGGCAGCGCGTCCAAAGCCTGCGAACAGCCGCAATCGAATCTAAATTGGTGGGGAAGAGGAAAGAAGTATGAACGAACCTGGCTGTTCGTCGCACGTCCCGGGCTGCGGCTTGGCCCTGGACGCGGGCCCCACAAGCGCTACGTGGAAACCCCGAGGATTTGACTGTTGGTGGTCCCCTGTGGGCCCAAAGCCAACGCCAGAATTGCTTGAGCCTGGCGCGGGGGCGAGAAGAAAGGGCGGAGCGGGAAGCGCGGGGAGGAGGAATATAGAGGGGGGATTGAAGAAGATATGGGAAGGAAGTGGAAGGGGATAGCGAGGGAAAGCGCGCCAGTGGATCTCCCTGAATGCAAAAGGGGGGCTGTGCTCGCAGAACCCCCCCCCTCCCCCCCTTCCAAGGGGGGTGAGATTCCGACCCCCCCCTCCCCCCCCCCTTTGAAGGGGGTGGGGTCCGGATCACCCCCCCTCCCTCCCCCCCTTGACGCTGGAAAAGAGGGCGGGGGTTCGGACCCCCCCTTCCCCTCCTTGGCGCCGGAAAGGGAGCCGGGGGGGGGGGGGCGCCTCTCTCGTTTCTCCTTTCTGTGCCGGAGAAGGTGTGTAGGGAGCACGGAATTGGGAGTCGGGAGTAAGTAGTGACTAGAGAGTAGCGAGTTGGTGCGTAGTGAGTAGTGAGTGTTGGGTAGTGAATAGTAAGTAGTGAGTTGCGAGTAGGGAGTAGGGAGTAGGGAGTGGGGAGTAGTGAGTAGTGAAGAGTGAGTAGTGTATACTGATAAGTGAGTTGTGAGTAGCGAGTAGTGAGTAGTGAGTAGCGAGTAGTGAGTACTGAGTAGTGGGCAGGGAGTAATGAGTAGTGGGTAGTGAGTAGTAAGTAGTGGGTGGCGAGTAGTGATTAGCGAGTAGTGAGTAGTGGGTAGTGCGTAGTGAGTATTGAATAGTGGGTAGTGAGTAGAGAGTAGCGAGTTGTGAGTACTGAGTAGCAAGTAGTGAGTAGTGAGTAGTCAGTAGTGCGTAGTGAGTAGTGATGAATAGAGAGCAGTGTGTAGTGGCAGTGGGTAGTGAGTAGTGAGTAGAGAGTAGTGAGTAGCGAGTAGTGAGTTGTGAGGAGCGAGTAGGGCGTAGTGAGTAGTGACTAGTGAGTAGAGAGTAGTCAGTAGTGCATACTGGGTAGTGATTAGTGAGTAACGAGTAGGGAGTAGCGAGTAGTGAGTAGTGAGTAGGGAGTAGGGAGTCGTGAGCAGTGAATAGTAAGAAGTGGGTAGCGAATAGCGGGTAGTGAGAAGCGATCAGTGAGTAGTGAGTAGTGAGTAGTGGGTAGTGACTAGAGACTATGGAGCGACTCGTGAGTAGGGAGTAGGGAGTAGTGAGTAGCGGTGAGTGAGTAGTGAGTATTGAGTAGCTAGTATGCGAGTAGCGAGTAGTGAGTAGTGAGTACTGTGTAGTCAGTATTGTGTAGGGAGTAGGGAGTAGGGAGTAGCGAATAGTGGGTAGTGAATAGTGATTTGTGGGCAATGAGTAGTGAGTAATGAGTAGTGAGTAGTGGATAGTAGGTAGTGGGTAATGAGTAATGATTAGTGAGTAATGAGTAGGGAGTAGTGAGTAGTGATTAGTGAGTAGTGAGTTTTGAGTAGTGGGTAGTGAGGAGTGAGTAGTGAGTAGTGAGTAGGGAGGAGGGAGTAGTGAGTAGGGAGTCGTGAGTAGCGAGTAGTGGGTGGTGGGTAGTGAGTAGTGGATAGTGAGTAGTGAGTCGTGAGTAGTGAGTGGGGGTAGTGAGAAGTGAATAGCGAATAGCGGCTGGTCCGTAGTGGGTAGTGAGTGGTGGATAGTGAATACTCATTGGGGCTGGGGTTAGTGGTTGGGGTTAGGGTTGGGGGCTTGGGTTAGGGTGAGGACTAGGGGTAGGGGTGGCGGGGGTCGGGTTCCGGAGTCAGGGGGCGGCGTGGCGAAAGGGGGGGGAGGGGGGGTTGCGGCCAAAGGGGGGGAAGGGGGGGTGTCGGACCCCCCCCCCTCCTTTTGAAAGGGGGGGGGACGGGGGGGGGGAGGGGGGGTTCCCGACGACGGACCAGGGGGGGGGGGTCCCCGACGACGGATCGGGGAAGGGGGGGAGGGGGGGGTTCCCCGACGACGGATCGAGGAAAGGGGGGGGGGGGTTCCCCCCCCTTTGGGAAGATCCAGCGGCGCGCCCTCATAATGAGGAGGAGCAGGAGGAGGGGGAGGAGGAGGGGAAGGAGAAAGAGGAACAGGAGGAACGCAAGAGGAAGCGGGCGATGAAGTGGAGGAAGAGGGAGGAGGAGAGAGGAGGAGGATGAGGAAGAGGAGGAGGAAAAGGAGGAGGAGGAGGAGGAGGAACAGGAGGAGGAGGAGGTGGAGGAAGAGGAGGGGGAGGGGGGGAGGAGGAGGAGGAGGAGGAGGAGAAAAAGACGAAGGGGGAGGACCAGTGTAAACCCAAGACGAAGCAATGATGTTGCAATCAATTTTCCTTCCAAGTTCCCACGTCAGATGTCCCTACATGAATGTTTCCGTTGCGGGAGCTGCCCAATTTGAAAAGGAAGATAATCATTTGAGAACCTCTGGTCGTGCCAGAACACCATTCCTGGGACGTCAACGCCACGGATCAACGTGACTGTTGCGTCCTGGCAGTCCTAGATCGTGCCACCACGCAGTTCCCTGAACTTCAACACCGCGAATCCAATCGAATCCACGTGACCGTTGCGTCCTGACAGTCCTAAATCGCGCCAAAAGACCACCCCTGGGACTCCAGCCATACGGATCCTGGAAACGGCTGCAATATTTAGAGCGAATGTTCGCTGCGCTGGGGCACGAGTCACACTTTGAAAAGGAACTGGGCTCCATCTGCGGCGCTGCTACAAACTGTTGAGACGAATGTGCGCCGTGCTGCGGCGAGAACCACATTATGAAAATAATCCGTTCCCCATCCTCGAGGCTGTTGCACGTTTCAAGTTTCAGCATCATACATGGCGAGGAGTTGTTAGACGAAACCCCCAGCCCGCCCAACCGACACGTCTGGGGTTGCGACAGCGAGGGGTTGCTTATAATGAAAAGGTTGGCGAGGAGGAGAAGGAAGAGAGGGAGGAGGAGGGGAATGAGGGAGAGGAGGAAGGTGGAGGAGGGGGTGAGCAGAAGGAGGAAGGAGAAGAACAGAGGAAGGAGAGGGAGGAGGGACGCGATGAGAGATGGGGAAGCGCACGATGGCTGAAGCGATGTTCAAGGAGCGCTTGTCACCTTGGCTGTACTTGCAGACGCCGCCGATACCGTTCACCTTGCTTTGCTGGATAATGCCCCCCCGAAGCCTTCTTACCGTGCTGCTGCTGCTGATGCCAATCCTCGTAGTCCGACGAGCACAACCCCGCACGAATGACCCTCGTTTGAGCACCCCGCTCGAATCGGGACCCGAATCCCATGTATTGGTCTCACGTCTGCACCAATATCTCACCTCATCCACCTCTCCACCTCCACCTCCAACTCCTCATCCTCATCCTCCGCCTCCCTTCTTGCCCGTGCGCTCATAGAGATGTATCCGTCGAGTCTCGTATTCGATGTGAAGCCCGAGTATCTACCAGCGTCCACATTTGGACGAGGACACGTCGTTCTGCCCAAGGCGACAACGAGCCTCAACTCATCGCCTTCCTGCTGATTTCCTCATCCACCTTCTCCTCGTCAGCGGCAATCCTGTGGATCCACTCTCTCCGACAAGGAGTCCTTCCTCCCGTATCGTATGACCGCCAGCGCCCCCGGCACGAAGGCAAGAACCTCCGCGCTGGCGAAGGCTCGGTAAAGCAGCGCTTGGGGTAAGGGTCGCGAGGGAGAAGGATAGGGGGGGCAGGAGCAGGAGGAGGAAGAAAGGAGGAACCCAAAAAAAAGATGAGGAGAGAAAGAGAGAGAAAGAGAGCAGCAGCAACAGCAGGAGAAACGGTAGCAAGAATCCCAGGAGGAGGAGGAGGAGGAGGAGGAGGAGGAGGAGGAGGACGAGGAGGAGGAGGCGGAGGAGGAGGAGGAGGAGGGGGAAGAGGAGGAGAGGCCAGGAGAGAGGCTGCATCTATGCCAGCGACTGGCACGGCGGACGCGGAGGGAGAGGTCAGCAGGCGGGGAGGGAAATGCCCACAGAGGGGCAGGGAGCTCGGGAGCGCACGCGCGAATGCGAGCCAGGGGCCGGGCGCAGCAACACTGGACCATCCCCCTCCTCCTCCTCCTCCTCCTCCTCGTCGTCCTCCTCCTTCTCCTCCTCCTCCTCCTCCTCCTCCTCCTCCTCCTCCTCCTCCTCCTCCTCCTCCTCCCCGGAGGAGGCCTCATGGGAGGACGGGGGGGGGGGATGAAGACGACGACGACGACGACGACGTAGCCCAGGAAGGAAGAAACTGAGATGGAGGAGGAGCAGCGGCACGAGGACGAGGAGAAGCGGAGGAGGAAGAGAAAAAGGAAGAGGATCATTAATGGCGATGAGACTGAGGAGGGATAGTGCGGAGGAAGGCTACGCTGCCCAAGCCAAGGCCGGCGTGCATCAAAATACCAACGACCACCATAACGCGGGCAAAATATAGTATACCTAATAGAATCACGCGCGTTTCGCGCGCGTTTAGGTTCTAGCGCAGACCGTCGCAAAGCTTCAACAACGGACAGCCAACGCTGATATTTCACAACAACTACTAGCTCTTCGAAGCCACCTCCAGAACATCGAATATCAGAGCGGCATCCGTCAGAGGATTGGGATACATGTGAGGAGGAGCAACAGCAACTGCTGCTGCATCAGCAACGGCACAGGGATGGAGGAGGGATTATGGGATTCTGCCGCGGCGACGCATGTCGTTGACTAGCGCCGTGCGGTGGGCCAGGGAAGAAGGCCTGGCAGTGGGGGCGCCTTCGGCACCAAAGCTGTAGGGGCCACCTGCAGTGGGTGAATTAAAGCAGACGGCCCACCACTGCTATGACACAAAGAATGGCCCAGTGCCAGTCAGAGTCGGGGGGGGGGGAAACAAAAAAAAAAAAACACACACACACACGGGGAGGTGCTTGCTGTCGGGCTCCTGTCGGAGCTGCGGCGCCTCCGCGCTTGACACTGCCACGTTCGCTCGCTGCTCGAGCGTGAAGGCATTGTTGGGCCTGGGAGGGGCAGGGTAGCTCGACGACGTCACGACGGGACGACAATCACCCTCCACAGGCCCAGGTCGCATAGGCTCGACGCCACTTGCAGAACTGGTCATGGCAGGCCCCCGGAAACTCCAACGGGGCCCAACGAACCAACAGCAGAAACAAAATCGCCGCCCCACGGTTCCAGGACAACCCCCGTTTTAGGGTGACGGCCTACCTCTGCGCTGCGCCAATACATTCGATGACTCTCAAGCGTGCTGGCTACCTGAGTTGGCCATGCGCAGCTCGATCTCAGCTTGCGACACTGACCATCAGGGAGCACCCATTACCCCGCACAGAGCTGACAAGTGATAACTCGGCCATGCCGCTCTGGGCGATGACCTAGATTAGAGAAAGCGTTCAACCCTGAGCCCACAGCAGCACTAGTGGTAGAGGGGGGAGGAGGGCCCTCGGCCCGAGGAGGAGCAAGGTCACCAGACACCGCTGGGCTCTGCGCCGCGTAGGGGTGGGCATCAGGGTCGGCGGTGATCAAAATGGCTGCGCGGCAGCGCTCTAACTCTCCACCGTAGCAATGCCTCGCGGCTCCGCTGACCACGGATCTGAGAGTCAACTCGCTCTTGGCCGCCACGTTACACAGTTTGCATATCCAGTCCTGTCGAGAGGGGAGGTAATAGGTTTCGTGAGACAGCAAGGTGAGACGGTCACTCTTCTCAGGCCTAGGAGGCATCTTCTCGGGCCTCTCGGCGGCTTTAGAGTACCCACCAGTCATCTGGACCGCACGCGCCAAGAAGCTCCAGTTTTGCTCGCAGGCTTTCAGCCACCTGTGCATACTGGTGGCCCTGGGCCTCCAGGCGCGCGAAAAATCAGCCCAGTGGTTGCCTCAGTGACAGGTGACTTGTCCCTGCCCCAGCATCATCGCTTCCTCGATTTCTCTGTGAGCAGGGACCCGCTCAAACTTTGGGGGAGCGCGGTCAGGCTCGCAGAGCTGAGGGATCTGCCTCCAGATGCCTGCATGCCTTGTCATACGGCCTCCCAGCTGGCGACTCCAGGTATTACCCTCTCTGACAAACGTTAGATGGTCACTATATATGGTGTCTACCTGGGGGGGCTACCTTCATCGCCATCAGGCCCGCAAGCCTCTCCGCTCGAGGCGCCGACTGGCGCCCAGGGAGAGGCCCGTGCACCGCCCTCAAGGGCAGGCCCGACTCCGAAAGCTCCACCGCGGCCCATCCACACCTGCGCAGTGCTGGGCTCGCTTTCGCAAGCCCCGAACCGGAAGTGTAGATCCGCCGACCCCAAGGAAGGCGCGTAGCCCCCCAGTGGAACACAGGGCACTGCAGGGGCTGGGACGCTACTTTAAAGGGTGATGCGGCAGACCGTAGGCAAGCTCGAGCGTGTCCCACTCAGGCGCGCCCAGTCCCTTGTCCCCAAGACCCTGCAAAAAAAAGCCCTGCGCTCCAAGACGTCCTCAGGCATGGGTTCAACAGGGAGCTCACTAGGCGGCTGCAGGAGCCCTTTGCAGTCATATAGAGTTGGTGCCCAAGGGTGCCAGGCTCTCAAGAGAATCACAAAGCTCACAACGATCGCTTTCACAAAGCCCAAGAGCATTCTTACGCGCAGGGGGCCACAGGGCGTAACCAATCAAACGTCTGGCGCAGCCTCTATGTATTGGATCTTTCAGGCTCAAAATGGCCTGGCGGAGCGCTCTCCTCCAGATTCCATTCGGGTTGCCAACAATCGGTTGCATGTGAGAAACGATACGCCGCATCTGCCATCGTCCAATACTGTGTCGAAGTAGCTGCTTCAGCTACCACGGCGATGTCTGCAGTAAACTGATCGATGTTCCTTGATCGTCTGGTAGATGATGGGCCGATGTCATCATCCAGTCCACTCGGTGCAAGGAAAACGCCACGGCTGACATTGGGCCAACGCATCTGGTCCAGGAGTATTCACCATCCCATGCTGTCATCATGGCAGTCCACGCTCTCTGCAGAAGTCCGAAGGACACCTGTGAATCCCATATAGCCGCTGCGTATCTGCATACAAACTCTGTAGTGACGTCAAACATCGGATCATACCATTCATCTGATTGTGTAGCCAACCAAGCTGTGATACTAGCATGGGCTTTGGCCCCCAAGAGGACTCCAGCAAGGTGGCGCAGCTGGGCCAAGGTGGATGGCACTACGCCGCTGGCTCCAGCCCCATGTGCAGCTGCAGGGAAACGTCCCGTTCGCCACAGCATATGTACCTTGCCTCGCCCACGCTGTAGTGCGTGTAGCCGTCCCCGTCTAGCCATGATCCCAAGTAGTCGTCGTCGCTCCTGTATACGCCGTAATCGAACTCCAGCGAGCTCATGTCCCAGATTACGCATGTGCTTGTGGCATTTGAAATTCAACATCGTACTCAGCTTCTTTGCGACCTTGGTAGCTGGTTTAGTACTTGCCACACATCCACTCTTGTCCGCGGCGCTCCTGGAGCGCACGGGGCGCCATCGTGCCTATTCTGAATTCTCTCTGGGGCCGTCCTGGCCGTCCCTTGGTGTGTCGGGGGGCTGTCTTGGAGGGTCTTTGGGCCGTCTCCGGCCTGGGGGCGTCTTGGGGCCGTCTCGGGGCGGTCTCGGGCCGTCTTCGGGGCCAACTGATGCCCTCTTGGACCTGTCGGGCCTCTCTTGGGCTGCTTTGGGCCCTTTGGGGCCCAGCGCTCTGGTTGAGGCGGGGAGAGCAAACATAGGTGCAGGCAGCGGTTCTCCTCCACACCCCACGCCGGGAGCGTGGCAGCGCGAGAGCGCACGAGTGAGATGGGAATCCCCTGTGCACGACACGGGGTGAAACACAGTAGCAGGCAAGACCGAGGGCACGCGAGTCCGGAGGGCTCCAAAGGGGGCTTTTGGGCAGGGGGTTTTCCAGAGAGCCCCCCGGGGCCTCGCAGCCTCGTCAAAACAGGGGGTGCGAAGCCCCTGGGGGGGACCCCCGCCTGGAAAAACCTCCTCCTCCAAAAACCCCCTGTGGAACCCTCCGGCAAGTGCAGCGCCAGGCCTGCCTGCCGCCTTCGCGTCCCGAGGCGGCGCCCCAGGTCGGCCGGCCGCCGCCGGCGCTGGCGCCGCGGGTCTGCTTGCCGCCGCCTCGCGCTGCACCCGGAGACGCCCAGACCCCCCCGAGCTGTGAAAACATCATCACGGCGGGAAGCTTTTTTGCTATCTTCGGCCTCCAGGGGCCCTCACCGGGCCTCGGGACCGTCAAAAAACGACTCTGGATGAAAAGCCGGTCACGGGGAAGGAGGAGGAGGAGGAGGAGGAGGAGGAGGAGGAGAAGGAAGGGAGGAGGAGAGGAGGAGGAGGAGGAGAACGAGGAGGAGGAGGAGGAGGAGGAGGAGAGGAGGAGGAGGAGGAGGAGGAGGAGGAGGAGAGGAGGAGGAGGAGGAGGAGGAGGAGGGAGGAGGAGGGGGGGGGAGGAGGAGGAGGAGGAGGAGGAGGAGGGGAGGAGGAGGGGAGGAGGGAGGAGGAGGGAGGAGGAGGAGGAGGAGGAGGAGGAGGAGGAGGAGGAGGAGGAGGAGGAGGAGGAGGAGGAGGAGAGGAGGAGGAGAGAGAGGAGGAGGAGGAGGAGGAGGGAGAGGAGGGGGAGGAGGAGGAGGAGGAGGAGGAGGAGGAGGAGGAGGAGGAGGAGGAGGAGCTGGGGGTCGACGCTGTGAACAAAATCACGGCGTCGGGGGCCTACAGGGGGATTTTCTACGAAAAATAAAAAATACCCAAAAAACAATCAAACAATAATCCAAACATAGTTGGGCATTTGCCCTTTTGGAATATGTTTGGGGCGTTTTTTGCCTAACAGCGAAGACTGATAGGTTTCTAATGGGGTCAAAAAAGAGCATCATGACTCCTCAGGGGGGTCGGGGCGGGACCCGGGGCGGGACCCGGCGCGGCTGCCGTCGAAGCCCAAATCGCCTGGGACATCCTCGCAAAATCGCTCTTGGCGCTGCTAGAACTCCATTCCCGGCGTACATTTTGGATGCCCGGAGCCAACTGCTCTTCGACTTCCCAGAACTCCACTCCCGGCGTACATTTTGGGTGCCCGGAGCCAACTGTAGGCCACTTTGTGGTCTTCGAGTTCCCAGAACTCCATTCCCGGGCCACATTTTGGATGCCCGGAGCCAACTGTAAGCCACTTCGTGGTCTTCGAGTTTCCAGAACTCCATTCCCGGGCCACATTTTGGGTGCCCGGAGCCAACTGTAGGCCACTTCGTGGTCTTCGAGTTCCCAGAACTCAACTCCTGGGCCACATTTTGGATGTCCGGAGCCAACTGTAGGCCACTTCGTCTTCTTCGAGCTCCCAGAACTCTCCCGGGCCACATTTTGCTTACTGGATGTCTCCGTCAAATCTCTCGCCACCCGATTCCCGGTTTGTTCTGTGTCGTCATCGTGCAGGGCAAGACGGCGGACCCAGGCGTCATCGTGCACTGGACGTTTCCGCCAGAATCTAATACTTGTAGTAGCAGTAGTAGGAGGAGGCTGAGGCAGGCTGATGCTGAGGCAGGCTGAGGCTGAGGCTGAGGCTGAGGCAGGCCGAGGCTGAGGCCGAGGCCGACGGCAGACTGAGGCTAAGGCTGAAGCAGGCTGAGAGGCAGGCTGAGGTTGAGGCTGATGCAGGCTGATGCTGAGGCAGACTGAGGCTGAGGCTGAGGCTGATGCAGGGTGAGGCTGAGGCAGGCTGAGGCTGAGGCCGAGGCTGAAGGCAGACTGAGGCTGAGGTTGAAGCAGGCTGAGGCTGAGGCTGAGGCAGGCTGAGGCTGAGGCTGAGGCAGACTTAGGCTGAGGCTGTGACTGCGACTGCCGTTGCCGCTGCGACTGTCATCGCGAATGCGACTACGACTGCGAGAACAGCAGAATTCTACAACTGGGTTCTCATTGGAATCTTAAGGGGAATGCTCCCAGATATGCTCTCCTACACATCGCTGTTGGGTTGCTCTGCCGGGATAATCATTTTTCGTCGAAAATCCCCCTGCAGGGGGACACGCCCGACAGAAGTCTGGGACGGCGCCAGCCGCGGGGGCCCGGTCGGGGGCGCCGTGGCCCGCGGACCGCGCCACGAGAGGCGCGGGGGGCGCCTCGGCGGGAGGCCTCCCCTCGGAGAGCGGCGGCCGAGGCGCCCCGTCGGCCCTATACACAGCGCCGCCGCGGCGGGCCCCGGCGAGCTGCCCGCGCGCTGCCCGCCTCGAGGGCGGAGCCCCGCGCGATCGCCCGCGGGCCGCGCGCGCCCCCGGGGCGCTCGCCGAGCTCGGCCGATCGGCCCCCTCGGGCCGGGGCGCCCCGGCCGCGCGCGCCGCGGCGCGCGCGGCGCAGCGGCCTCCGCCGTGGCGGGGTCGAGCCCGCCCCAAGCGGGAGCCCAGAGCTCAGGGACGCCCTCGGCCGCGGCCCCGAGGCATCCAGAGAGGAGTGTGACATCGAGAGAGGGAGAGGCAGGGGGAGGGGCAGGGAGGCGGGAGAGGGAGAAGGGAGGAGGGACGAGGGCGATGGGGAGGGGGAGGAAGAAGAGGATGAGGATGGGGGAGGAGCGCATGTGAGTGAAAAGGAGAAGGGCGAGAAAACGAAAGAGGGGGAGAGAGACAGAGAGATAGAGAGAGAGAGAGAGAGTAAGAGAGAGAGGTGCGGCGAAAGAAGAGAATGTGGGAAATGAGGAGGAAGGAGGAGGTTCACAGGGGGATGAGAAGCAGCCAAGAGGGGCAGGAGGGTGGGCAGGAGGGGCACAAGCAGGACGGCAGGGAGGAGGAAGACGAGGGGGATGATGAGGAGGAGGAATGGCAGGCGAACGAGTCGGTAGAACGGCCAAAAGAAGAAGTATAGCCAGGAGGAGACGACAGATGAGGGCCAGTGGAAGGACGAGGAAGAGGAGGATGAGGACATGGAGAGGATATTGAGGGGATCGGTAGCAGCAGGAGGGCAGTGCACCCTGGCCTCCAGATAGTCTGACGTCATGGAGCCGATCAGCGCGGGGTGCATCACCAAGCTTCCGTTCGCCACTGCAATAGAACGTACATTGCAGTCAACATCGTGTTTCTCTCTCTCTCTCTCTCTCTCTCTACATAGATTTACATATATATATATATATATATATATATATATATAGATATTCAAAACTGCATTGGTTCTTCGCGCCGTGCGCCTTGGTCCTTCACTTCTAACATGCAGGCATAATGAGAGAGAGGTAGATCAGCCAAAGTAACGATCGCTGTTGGTTGCAGTTTTCGCCGTTATTGTTATGACTTGTCTCTTCGTTTTCTTCGTTTTCGCCTTTCGCCTTCATTGCCCCGCGAACTTCCCTGTCCTCCTCAGATTTGTTTGCGGAGGCTCCTCCGAGGCGAGCTTCTGGAGGACCTCGCGAAAGCTTTTCAGGGGCTCCTTGGGCGCCTCTGGAGACGTCCCTGGCGCCGTTTGGCGGCCTATGGGGCTTTCCTCGGGCCACAGTGCCGCGAACCATCGCCTCGGATCACAGGTTGAACGCTTCTGGAGGGCGTCTTGGGGCAATTTTGGCCCGTCATGGGGCCCTGTGGGCAGTTTCTGAGCCCTCTTGGGCCGTCTTGGGGCTCTCTTGAACTGTCAGGGACCTTTTCTGGGTCGTCTTGGAGCGGTTAAAAGTGCCCGGCGTTCTCGGACGCCAGGAAGACCGAATAACCGAGTAGCCCAAAGTCATATGTACAAAAACCGACGGGAAATCAACCTTTTCTGTGTTCCGAACGCCTCTTGGGAATGTTGGGCTGTCTTCGGACGCCTGGCGGGGGTCTGGGGCCGCTGGAGGCCATCTTGGACCGTCTTGGCAGGGACTTCCAGAGGCCCAGAAATCTTGCGGGACCCTCTGATAGGGGGCGTCCAGGATACCTGGATACCAGTGGTCCCGTTTCGGAAAGGGAGGGGGGGCAAGGTTTCCGCAGGGTCTGGATTGATAAAAAACATGAAAGGCAATGTATATAACAATACCTATACGACCACCCTGCGGGTGATAAGGAGGTTGGGGGGGGAGGGGGGCCAGCAATGGGCAACAGTGGTGATTGTTGCGTTGCCGCTCGCTCTTGGGACCATCGATCCCACTATCGATCTCACTCTGGATCTCGCTATCGATCCCACTATCGACCTCCCTATCGATATCACTCGATCTCACAATCGATATCACTATTCATCTCAGTATCGATCTCACTATCGATCTCACGATCGATCTCACTATCGATCTCACTATCGATCTCACTATCGATCTCACAATCGATTTCGTCATCGGTCTCACTATCGTTTTCGCACCAGCGGGACACCGGGACACTGGCGGGACACAGGCGGGACACTGGCGGGACACCGCGGGCCACCGCTTGCCGGAGGGAGAATCATTTGGTCCGGCCGGGACCCAGCCACAAGCGGAACACCGGCGGGACACCGGCGGGACACCGGCGGGACACCGCGGGCCACCGCTTGCCGGAGGAAGAATCATTTGGTCCGGCCGCGCCTCAGCCACAAAAAACTTTCCTCTCGCCCGCCCACGCTGCTTCGCCTCGCCCGCACGCACGGCACGCACGAACACGAAACCGAAACCGATTTCCAGGTGGGGGGCTCTCCGTTCCACTTCGATCTCACCCCCCAACCTCCGATTCTAAACCAAAAACAACGGCTACGTATTTGCGATAATGATTCGCACCGCCTCCCTCAAGTTCCTCATATCGCCTCTCCCTCCCACGTTTCATGATCCGTCTGCTCCACCTCCTCCTCCTCCTCCTCCTCCTCCGCCTTCTCATACTTATCCTCTTCACCTCGGACTCCTCCTCCTCATCCTGCATCTGCCCCTCCTGCCCTACCCCCTCCTCCTCCTCCTCCTCCTCCTCCTCCTCCTCCTCCTCCTCCTCCTCTTGATGCTCATGCTCATGCTCATTATCGTCAATAGCAGCATCAGCATCGTTATCATCATCATCATCATCATCATCATCATCATCATCATCATCAGCAGCAGCAGCAGCAGCAGCATCAGCATCATCACAACCAAAATCACCAGAACTTGGAACCAGCATTAGCATCATCATTATCATCGTCAGCACCGCCATCATCAACAGCATCATCATCAGGATAATCATGGTCATCTTCATCATCATCATGATCATCATCATCATTATCAGCATCATCAACATCATCAGCAGCATGGACATCATTATCAGGATCATCAACATCATCATCACCAACATCACCATGATCATCCTCGTCATCATCAGCAGCATCATCATCGTCAGCATCATCATGAGTTGCATCATCATCACCACCACCACCGTCATCATCATCATCATCATCATCATCATCATCATCATCATCATCATCATCATCATCATAATCATCACAACCACCACCACCAGCATCTTAATCACCATCACCATCACCACCACCAGCAGCACCATCATACCATCACCACTATCACCATCCCCATCATTATCACCATAACCATCACCATCACCACCATCACCATCGACATCACCATCACCACCACCATCACGATCACCATTACCACCACCCTCATCATCGTCATCATCACCATCACCATCACCACCAACATCATCATTCCTGCTCCTCCACCTCCCCCCTCAATTGTGCTCCATCCTTCGCTTTGCCCTGCGCCCGCTCCTCCTGCTCGTCACCTCTCCCACCGTATCCTCCCTACACTCTCCTCTCCCTCGCCGTCCTGTTCCTCCTTCTCCTCAACATACTATTCCTCCTCCTCCTCCTCCTCTTCCTCCTCCTCCTCCTCCTCCGCCTCCTTGTCATCATAATCCATCTTCCTTCTCATGCTAGCGAGCTCGACTGGGAACTGGCTCTACACCGCACAGCACCAGTCGTTGCTAACGTGCCGGGGGGGTGGGAGGCTGGCTCAGATACGCCTCAGGCTGGCCAGCGGAGACCCCTGGCACACAGCCAGGCGAGGTGGCTCTGACATGGATGCCGAATGAGCCCCGTCCCACGCTGAAGAAGACCTCGGCAGGTTCCAGACCCCTGGCGACGAACGTCTTGGCGGTCAGCAGACGCTAATCTGATAGGTGTGCGGGGCGCGCGGCCGAGAGGGCATGGGAAGCGGGATTGGCACAAGACGCGCCTCATTCCGACTCCTGGGATGAGGCGGCTGCCGCGATTATGGATCAGCAGGGTGGCCGTTGCGCTGGCGGCACAAGCCGACACAGCGAAGGCCGAGCCGCGAACCTGTGCGCAAGGTGCTGCCGACCTCGAGGAAGGCTACCGCGTCTGCCACCCAGCACCAGCTCCGGCGACTTGGCGCCAAGCGTCGGGGGCGCGCAAACATGGATTAGCGATCCGTGGATCTGGCGCGCGGTCGCCAGATCCATGGATCGGGGGAGGTGCCCTGCCCAAAATGCGGCCCGTGCCGCCTCGCTCGGCGGCGGAAGCCCGCGATGCCCCATGGAAGCGGGACCCGTCGCTGATCCGCGCCCCCCTTGGGCCATGCGCTGGCGATCGCCCGAACGTGGCGCCGTGCAGGCCGCCGACGCCCTGGGCCGCGCGGAACGCCCGCTGCACTTCTCTCTGCACCGCTGCCCCGCGCGTGGCTGCCCCCCACGGCCTCCGCGGGCGGCGGCCCCCGCCGACGGAGCCGAAGCCCGCCGGGAGCGGAGGCGGGCCGCGGGAGGGGCCCGCGGCAGGACCTGCATCCCGCTCACTCCCCGAGCTCCGACGCTGCAGACCATTGCAACATCGCAACAAAAAAAGAAAACACCCGGGGCCCCGGAGCCCATCCTTCTGCGCCATGCTTCGAGCCGGATCGATCTGTGAGGGTCCAGGGGCGCGATGACTGAGCGAAAACGAAGGACCTCAAGGTTGGAGGTGGTGGGGCAGGGGGGGGCACCGCTCGCGCCCTGTCTCAGCCGTGGCCGCCGCGGCACGGAAGGCTCCCGCCAGCTGCGGCGCCAGCGCGAGCCGAGGGAGGGCAGGGGGGGACGCCTGCCCCGAATCCGACGGAGCCCTCGCCTGAGACGGGAAGTGCCTACCCGCGGCACTCAGGGCCGCGCACTCGTGCGCTGTGCGGCAAGCTGCTGGCCGCCCCCCCCCCCAATCGGGTTCTGCCAACTGCTTGCTTCAAGTCGGGCCTGTCCCCCTACAGGGGGAGTTTGGAGGAAAAATTCAAAATACCCGAATATGCTCCTCAAATACTCAAAAATGGTCCCCAGAGCATTTTCTTTTACTATTTTAGAATATTCGTCCTGTGGATGGACACGCCCGACTTAATGCTTGCTTCTGGGAGCAGCTGTCTCTGTGGGCGCGCCCGCGCAGCGACGGAGAGCCTGCGCCCGGTGGTCAGTTGTGCGGGTGACGAGGTCACGCATGCTGGCTCTGCCGACAGAGCCAGCGCCCTCTGCAACAGCGTGGCGGCCCTCTCGCATGGTCCGCATGATCCTCCTCATCCTGCAGATCATCGCCTCCTCCGCCTCCTCCTCCAGCGCATCCTGTCGTTCATTCATTGTCCTCCGCCTCCTCCTCCTCCTCGTCATGATCGTCATCCTCCTCAGCCTCCTGCTGCTCGCCATATCTTATCCCTGCCGCTCCACAATGTAATCCTTTCCTCCTCCCTCGCCTTTGCTTTGCTGCTGGTCATCATGATCGTACTGTTGTTCCTGTTCGCCATCCTCTCATGCTCCTTCTGCTCTTGCCCCTCTTCGTCCGCTTTTGCCCCCACCCCCTTATCGCCCTTCTCGCCCTCCACATGCCGCTGCTGTTCCTCCGTTCTATCACCCCTCTCATAGTCATACTCCACCACGTCCCCCTCTTCATCCTCTTAGTACGATAAGTGTTCTTCTCGTCCTCCTCCGTCCCATCGTTTTACTCCCGTTGTCCATACTCTGGTGTCCCCCCCTCTGATGCACATCATGGCCTTCGCCCTCCTCCTCCTCCTCCTCCTGCTGCTCCTCCTCCTCCTCATTGCTGTCCTACTTATTATGCTTATCATGCAAATCCTGCTCGTCCTGCTGATCTTACACAGTTCTTGCTCGATATCGTGATCCTGCTCCTGTTCCTTCCTCCTAATCACCCCGTACTGATCATTCGGATATTTTCATCTGCCCTGGTTATATTGCTCGTCATGCCCATGTGTTTCTGATCCTGCTCACCAAATTTCGTCTACTCATCCTGCCCCGCCGAGTCATACTGATCGTCCTGGTCATCACGCGGTTGCCCCTACTGTGCCCTTCTAGTCCTCACCAGTCTTATGCGCATCATGACCACCACCATCCCCGTCATCCTGCACACTCGGCATACTGTACATCGTAAACGTGTTCCTGCTGTTTGTGATGTCCCTCATCAGAATTCCCATCCTCTTCATTATCCGTGAGGAAACGCAGGAGCAACTGGCGACAAAATAATTACGCTGCCGAGGAACCCCACATACTTATATTTTGGCTGGAGTGATGATAGCTGAAGTGAAGCATGTAAGAATGATGTTGGTGGCCGTTGCCACCCCCTGCGCACCCCCTATTTTGTCCAGAAAGTGCCACGCCTGCTATGCCCTGGACGACCGTCGTGCATAGCGGCCGCGGTGAGGGACCACCCCCTGCGCACCCCCTATGGTGTCGAGAAAGTGCCACACCTGCTATGCCCTGGACGACCGTCGTGCATAGCGGCCGCGGTGAGGGACCAACCCCTGCGCACCCCCTATGGTGTCGAGAACGTGCCACACCTGCTATGCCCTGGACGACCGTCTCGAATAGCGGCCGCGGTGAGGGACCACCCCCTGCGCACCCCCTATGGAATCGAGAAAGTGCCACGCCTACTATGCCCTGGACGACCGTCTCGGATAGCGGCCGCGCTCAGGGACCACCCCCTGCGCACCCCCTATGGAATCGAGAAAGTGCCACGCCTACTATGCCCTGGACGACCGTCTCGGATAGCGGCCGCGCTCAGGGACCACCCCTGCGCACCCCCTATGGTGTCGAGAAAGTGCCACGCCTGCTATGCCCTGGACGACCGTCTCGGATAGCGGCCGCGCTCAGGGACCACCCCCTGCGCACCCCCTAAGTGTCGAGAAAGTGCCACGCCTGCTCTGCCCTGGACGACCGGCGCGGATAGGGGGACCACCCCGTGCGCACCCCCTATGGTATCGAGAAACTGCCACGCCTGCTACGGCCTGGACGACCGCGGATAGGGGGACCACCCCCTGCGCACGGCCGAGAAACTACGCCTGCTACGGCCTGGACCCGGCGCGGATAGGGGGACCACCCCCTGCGCACCCCCTATGGTGTCGAGAAACTGCCACGCCTGCTACGGCCTGGACGACCGGCGCGGATAGGGGGACCACCCCGTGCGCACCCACTACGGCGTCGAGAAACTGCCACGCCTGCTACGGCCTGGACGACCGGCGCGGAAAGGGGGACCACCCCCTGCGCACCCCCTATGGTGTCGAGAAAGTGCCACGCCTGCTACCTGGACCTGGACGGACCACCACCCCCTGCGCACCCCCTATGGTGTCGAGAAACTGCCACGACCTGCTACGGCGAGAAACTGCCACGGCCTGCTGGCGGTGTCGAGAAACTGCCACGCACCCCCTGCGGGCCTGGACGACCCGGCGCGGATAGGGGGACCACCCCCTGCGCACGACTGCCACGCCTGCTACGGCCTGGACGACCGGCGCGGATAGGGGGTGCGCACCATGAGAAACTGCCACGCCTGCTACGGCCTGGACGACCGGCGCGGATAGGGGGACCACCCCGTGCGCACCCCCTATGGTGTCGAGAAACTGCCACGCCTGCTACGGCCTGGACGACCGGCGCGGATAGGGGGACCACCCCGTGCGCACCCACTATGGCGTCGAGAAACTGCCACGCCTGCTACGGCCTGGACGACCGGCGCGGATAGGGGGACCACCCCCTGCGCACCCCTATGGTGTCGAGAAACTGCCACGCCTGCTACGGCCTGGACGACCGGCGCGGATAGGGGGACCACCCCGTGCGCACCCCCTATGGTGTCGAGAAAGTGCCACGCCTGCTACGGCCTGGACGACCGGCGCGGATAGGGGGACCACCCCGTGCGCACCCCCTATGGTGTCGAGAAACTGCCACGCCTGCTACGGCCTGGACGACCGGCGCGGATAGGGGGACCACCCCGTACGCACCCCCTATGGTATCGAGAAACTGCCACGCCTGCTACGGCCTGGACGACCGGCGCGGATAGGGGGACCACCCCTGCGCACCCCCTATGGTGTCGAGAAAGTGCCACGCCTGCTACGGCCTGGACGACCGGCGACCGGATAGGGGGACCACCCCCTGCGCACCCCCTATGGTGTCGAGAAACTGCCACGCCTGCTGCGGCCTGGACGACCGGCGCGGATAGGGGGACCACCCCGTGCGCACCCACTATGGCGTCGAGAAACTGCCACGCCTGCTACGGCCTGGACGACCGGCGCGGATAGGGGGACCACCCCCTGCGCACCCCCTATGGTATCGAGAAAGTGCCACGCCTGCTACGGCCTGGACGACCGAGCTGAGCTGTGCTGTGCTGAGCTGAGCTGAGCTGTGCTGAGCTGTGCTGAGCAGTGCTGTGCTGTGCTGTGCTGTACTGTGCTGTGCTGTGCTGTGCTGAGCTGTGCTGTGCTGTGCTGAGCTGAGCTGAGCTGAGCTGTGCTGAGCTAATCTGAGCAGTGCTGTGCTGTGCTGTGCTGAGCTGAGCTGAGCTGTGCTGTGCTGAGCTGAGCTGAGCTGTGCTGAGGTATGCTGAGCAGTGCTGTGCTGTGCTGTGCTGTGCGAGAAGGAGAAGGGGAGGGGGGAGGTGTGAGACGCGGGTGCGGCGCGGCAGGGAAGAAAACCAGAACCCCACGAAACATGTGGGGAATGAGGATAACAAGTGCCATGCAATTATCACACCGGTATCAGCTATGTCCTATTTAATGTTATGATCCCCTCCTGGTGCCCTATTCACACCCTTCTTCCCTTTCCATCCCTAGCATTTCCCCGCCAGTCCTCCCCTGCCTCATCCCTTCCCATTCCCTTTCCCTTGACTTCCCTTCCCACCCTCCCTTCCCCTCTTCTCTGTTCGACCTCGACTCTCAAGCTTGCCCGCAAACTGAAATGGGGAAAGCCGCCGTCCTAGTTCTGTGGACTGCGCAGCACAAAAGGCCAGAACTACCAGCACTCCGACATCGAAGTGCGTGTGGATGCTAGACAGCTGCTTGTTGTAGCCTGCAGTGGGGAAGAAGCAACATACAAAATCCAAGCGGCTCTGGTCAGCGACCCTTGTTTGAGGGAATCTCGTTTTTTTGTATCTTGGGGTTGGCGGCGTGCACACAAACTGAGGGGAACCCACAAGGAGCAGGAAGGAGAGAGGAGTCATGAATGAAGAGAGGATGATGGGGGGAACGGCGAACGGAGGAGGGTGTGCTAGAGAAGGAGCGGCATGAAACATATGATGCGAACAACTGTTATTTCCCCAGCGTGGCCCCCAAACAGTAAATGTGCGCACGCGGGATATGAAAGCTACGTGGTGCAAGCTATGTGATGCGATGTCTGCGCGTTATAATCGATGCGGTGCATCAGGAATGGTGTAAGCTATGTGGTACAAGCGGTGTGGCGCAAACTGTGCGGTGTAAGCCACTGGGTGTAAGCTTCGTAATGTCAACTACGCGGTGCAAGCAACGTGGTGCAGCCTTGTGTGATCCCCTCAAAGATGAAGAACTTGAGGTCGTCAACTCCACTGATCGCGCAAGCATCCCACCCCCCACTCGAAACTGGTTTGGCAAATCCCATTCAGCAACGATTGCGGGGGTCGATACCGTCCTGGCTGGGATGGTATGATCCACTGAGGGATATAAGCGATGGGGCAAAATCGCATGCACATTGCAATGCCCAAGGGTGGACTGTTAAGTCCGGGCTTGGGACTTCTTAAAAAACGAGAATGACCATCCTGTCAGCAAGAGTACTACTGAATGTTTCCAGGGCCGGGTGCGAGATCCTCCGGATCCCGAGTCGATGGCTCAATGGCACATGGTCTCCCCGTATGGTCTCCCGTATAGTATCCCGTACGGTCTCCCGTATGGTCTCCCTTCTAGCAGTGTCTAGAATGTTCTCTGTATTCCTTTTCGCTTCCTATACTGTTTTCTGCAGTGATCTCTTCAGTGCCCGAACGAGCTGATTCGCATCTTCTGCCGCCAAGGGTGTACCGCAAGCGATGTGGCGCAAGCTGTGCGGTGCGAGCTATCTGGTTTCTGACACTGGGGGGATCGTCCAGTTTTGAACGGGTCGGCCGTTCCCGAAACGTCCGATCGTTCAACATCGATCGACTCTGGGTCGCCGGCGATGCTCAGCGTTGAGCGACCGGCGGCGGGGTCGCCGCCGGCCGGCACGACGCGAAACTGCCGCAAGCTAACTATATGCGGTGCGGCGACGACGGGCGCCCCCAGGTGGCGACCAGGGCGGGAAGGGCCGATATGGGAGGCCTGGTCCTTTTCAGCGAAAGGGGGAAGGAGGAGGGGGAGGAGGAGGAGGAGGAGGAGGAGGAGGAGGAGGAGGAGGGGGAGGGAGGAGGAGGGAGGAGGCGGAGCGTGAAGGAAGGAGTCCAGATGCTAGCCACACTACCCTTCCTCCCTTCCCAGCCGCGCCTGCTCCACGATGGAGTCGAGGGAGTCTCGGCACAACAAATGCCTCTGACGCCTCCGCGTTGGGAGACGCGTGGCCAACCTCACGGCGTCTATCAACTGGTCGGCTTGGGAGAGGGACAACGGAAGCGAACTCTGATGGGATGCTAAGCTATGTGTGTGAGAGCACGCGACAACAAAGGCCAGGGAACCGCCTCGCAGACCAAGGAGGAAGGGAGGGTCCCCCGGGAGAAATGAGCGCAGAGCCATGGAGGCGACATACTGCAACCTACGGTCCGCGTTGTGCCGGAGGCCGTCCGCTACGCGATTGCGGACCTCCGGAAGGCCGTGTGCGACGCCGTGCTCGGAGCGAACGGGGGGCAGGAGGAGGCGCGGAACTTGAAGGTCTTTTGCTTTCTGGATCGGCTGCTTTTCGCGACGGCGCGGAAGAGGAGAGGAGGAGCGCGAGGCCAACGAGGAGAGACGCTGGCGCGGACCCTTGCCAGACGCACCAGATTGGCTTGGGAGGGCGCGTGGGGCGTGTTGTGGCAGGAGTCGGCGATGCCACGCCCTGGGGAGGGCAGCGTTGCCCCGACGGAGGCACAGCAACTGGCCAGAGACGTCGCGAGTGTGGCCGAGGCCTTCGCTGACGAAGACCTGCGGGAGGCTTTGAGGGTCGTGGACGGCAGGCTCGAGCTGGCACCCGACGCGAAAGCGCGGCGATGTCTCCCAGACCTCTTCCCCCGAGCTGAAACTCAACCAGTGCTGCCTGAGAGCCGGCCGTCGGAGGAGGACACCGCAAGCCTTCTGGTGGAGCTGCAGAAGGCGCACCGCCACGCGCCTCGCAACAGAGGCGCGGGCCCCGGCGGGTCCAGGAACGAGCACTGGTCGTGGATGCCGGGGTACTCGGCGCCCTGGGAAAGCTTCGCAGAAGTAGCGCTCAAGCTGCAGCTCGGACAGGTGGCCGCGGAGGTCCACGGGCCATGGCTGTCGGCGCGCATCCTGGCAGGCGACCGGGAGGAGCGGGACAAAGTCCGTCCCTTCGCCTTGGGGGGCGTGCACAGGCGGGCCGCGTCCAAGGCAGTCGGCCGCGTGTTCCGCAGCAGGGTCGCGGCAGCCCTCGGGGGCAAGGAGTACTCAGTCGGGGAAGCACGCGGGGCGGAGCGCATGCACAAGGCGGCCCTCCTGGACCTCGACACCCGGCCTGGGTGCTGCAAGCTCGCACTGGACGTGAGCAATGCCCACAACGAGTTTTGCCGCGAGGCCGCCGCCAGGGCGGTTCAGGAGTTGGTCCCTGACCTGCTCCCGTGGACCCGCCTGGCCCTGAGCACCGCCACCGAGCACGTTCACGTCGCGCGGGACGGCACGAGGACGCAGCTCCCGAAGGAGCGCGGCGGAGACCAAGGGGACGGCCTGACCAACATGGTCTTCCCGCTCTGCTACAAGAGTGTGGTGGATGCTGTCGAGCGCGCGGCGGGCCTCGAAACGGACCCTGGGAGGAGCTACGCCTACCAGGACGACCTCGACGTCGTCTGTGCCACGGCGGCCGCGCAGCCCGCTGAGGAGGCGTTCGGGCGGGCTTGCGCCGAAGTGCGACTGCGGCCCAACCCGTCGAAGACCAAGCTGAGTCCTGGCAGGGAGGTGCCGGTGGCCGCGTTGACGGGCCGGTGGGAGGTGGAGCCGCGGGCGCTCGTCCTAAGGCACGGGACGGGGCCTTCCCGCCGGTGCCCGCGGCCCCTGCTGTCGCCCCAGCCGCGGGGAGCATCCTGGCCGAGGGGAGCCCAGAGGTGTCCGCGCTGGCAGAGAAGCGCGCGCGCTTCTTCCTGCGGCTGCGCCAGCTGCAGGCGGCGGGACTCGACCGACAGACTGCTGCGGCGCTGCTCCGGCTCAAGACGGGCTCTGACTACACGTTCGTGGCCCGCACTTGTGGCATCCCGGAGGCTGAGGCCCGGGCCATGGACGTAGCGCTAGCGGCGGAGGCGCAGCACGCCCTCGGACTACAACAGCTGAGCAGCACGGCGGGCAAGCAGCTCTTCCTCGCTGGGAAGGACGGCGGCGCTGGGTTCCAGAGCGTGGAGCTGACCGCGCCTGCCGCCCACGCCGCTTCCTGGCACCACAGCGTGCCGCACTGCCTGAGCAGGCTGGGACTGACGGGCGCCAGCGCCCTGGCCGCCCTCAGCCCCTGGGCGAGGCGCTGCCTCCCTGCGGCCACGGCCACGCTGCAGGAGGCGCTGGGGGACACTACGGCCCAGGTGGGCGACGAAGGACTGGCAGCAACGCAGCACTCACTGGCTACGGCCCCTCTCGCTGCGGCTGCCCGCCTGGTCGCCGACCTCGCGACAGGCGAGGGCCCTCCCGCGGCGGCCGCCTTGCGCTCGGCAGGAGGGCCAGGGGCGAGCGGCTGGCTGCAGGCCCCCACGAAGGCGCGCCACCGCCTGAGCAACGCGCAGTTCAGCATCGCAATGGGAGTTCGCCTGAACCTCGACCTGCCGGGCTGCACTGGGCTCTGTCAGCACCGCCACCCCAATGGCGGGACTTGCGGCGCGCCGCTCGACCCGAAGGGCAGACACGCGCGGGCCTGCCCGGTCGGCGGCTGGCTCGTCCGCCGGCACGACGCGGGGTGCGCAGCGCTCGCGGAGTGGTGCGAGGCGCAGGGCTGCTCGGTGCACCGCGAGGTGCTGCTCCCGCACGCCTCTCCGCAGAGCCCCGAAGCGCGCATGGACCTAGTGATCCACGCGCCCGGCGCCGTTGGACCGCTTTGGTCGACCTCACGGTCGTCAGCGCGGTTTCCCAGGACGCCTTGGCGCTCGGGGCTGCGAGGAGGGACGGGGCTGCCGCAGCAGCAGCGGAAAGAAGGAAACGAGCTCGCTATCCTCTGGTGCCCGCGCTGCCCTTCGTAGTGGAGGACCACGGGCGGCTGGGGGAGGAAGCGGCGGCCCTCGCCAAGAGGCTGGCGCCTGCTGACGACGCGGGGCGTTCGGCGGCCATCCGCGAGCTCCAGCAAGCCCTTGGCTGCGTGCTGCAGCGGCACGCTGCGGACGCGGTGCTGGCCGCCACCCAGGCCAGGCCCTGGCGGACGGCCGCCGCGCTCCGGGCGGCGCCCAGCGGGCGGCCAGAGGGCGCCGCGGCGCTGGGCGGAGGAGGGGGAGGCTGAGGGCAGAGGCGGCGCCAAGGCGGCTGGAGGCGGCGGAGGCGGCGCCGGCGCTGCAGGGCGGCGCACCAGGTAGCCAGGCTGCGGCTGGGGGCTGGGGGGCTGCAGGGGGCCTGCGGGGCGGCTGGGCTGCGGGCGCGCGCGGGCAAGGCCGGGGGCGCCGCTGCGAGCTGGAGGAGGCTCGCGGACCGGCAGGGCAGCGGGCGAGCGGCGGAGGGGCGCGAGCGCTGGAGGCCGCTGCCCACAACCATTTCGGGGTCGGCTGCTCCCCAGGGCCGTCGACGGGCGGACCCCTGGCTTGCCAGGGGCGTGGGCTCGTCCCCCCTGGGGAGAGAAAAGGGTACGGGTCCCCCGACGGGGGGGCAGCCCCCGTACCTGGCGCCGATGTCGGTCGTGCGGCGGCGGCCCCCCTTGCGGTGGGGCTGCGCCGGAGGCGCCTGGCGGTGGGACCGCACCTGAGGCGGCGGCGCGCGCGGCGGCCTGGTCGTGCAGGTCCCCATGGTGCTCCCGGGTAAGCCCAGACTAGAGGCCCTGGCCGGCGCACCCCCTCCCCCTGGGAGCGGCCGCCTTTTGCGCGCCACTCCCGGGGGAACCATCCCGTTTGAGGGGCGAGGCGGCGAGGGTGTGCGCCGGCTCCCGACCAAAGAGCGCCCGCGGCAAAGCGACTCGCGGCGCTCGGAGGAGGAGGAGGAGGAGGAGGGGGAGGGAGGAGGAGGGAGGAGGCGGAGCGTGAAGGAAGGAGTCCAGATCCTAGCCACACTACCCTTCCTCCCTTCCCAGCCGCGCCTGCTCCACGATGGAGTCGAGGGAGTCTCGGCACAACAAATGCCTCTGACGCCTCCGCGTTGGGAGACGCGTGGCCAACCTCACGGCGTCTATCAACTGGTCGGCTTGGGAGAGGGACAACGGAAGCGAACTCTGATGGGACGCTAAGCTATGTGTGTGATAACACGCGACAACAAAGGCCAGGGAACCGCCTCGCAGACCAAGGAGGAAGAGAGGGTCCCCCGGGAGAAATGAGCGCAGAGCCATGGAGGCGACATACTGCAACCTGCGGCAACTACATATATAGTGATTGGCGTTATCTGGGTCATCGCACCCGAATATACACTGAGCACCAAGCCGGGCCATCCTGCGATTTGTGACCCATGACCCAAGCCACGATCTGACAGCAATCTGGGACCACGCGGGGGGGTCCAACTGCAGCAGCTCCATCGTGGCATCCTGTCCCTTCCCAATCGAAGGAGGGAGCGAAGTGACGACGGACACGAACGAGGATGCGAGCGGGGAGGGAGGGGGTCGGGTACAGGGCAGCCTGGAAACCAAGCTTAAACTTTTCCTCCCACCGCGGTCTCCCTCTCGCTTCTCGAACCGTGGGGTCCCGAAACACATGCAGGGCAGCCACTCCGCCCTGAGTCAGAGCGCGTTGGAGGAGGCGAAAAGGAGGACGGGCGGAGAAATCGAAGGAGGGAGGACGAGGAGGAAAACCCAGGAAGGCCCACTCAAGGGTGCTAGCGATCGCCTCGGACTGCCAGAACTCGGGGGCGTGCCGCGGAGACTGCCACCATGCTGCGGGTCCATGGGAGACCACGGCCGTCCGCAAGCGTGCGATCTGAGCCTGCCATGTCGAGAGTGTCGCCAACGAGCACCGCATCAACGCGGCCGCATTCGTGGAAAAGATACTCGGCACACGAGGTAACCCCAGGAGCGGAGTTCGAACCACTCCGGGTGCGAGACTATCGTGCAGGGGGCGCGCATAAGTCGAGCAAAAAACATCCTCTCACGTACAGCCATGGCCCGGGGCATACAGAACAGTTGTGCTTTATAGGAGAGCACGGGCACGGCACGCTGCACAGAAAGCTCTACGCATCTACCAAAATGGGCTCCTGAGCTGGCAATCTCAACAGTTCTCGACCGGAGCTTCTGGGCGGGCCCACTCCACTGATCCAAAGAAGTCGCCGCGGGACCGAGCCAGACTCCTAGATATATCAGCTTGCCGACGATGTTAAAGGCAGCCCAATCAGTATCGGCTTCAAAGAGAATGGAGCAGAGGGAGGACGACGCCGACTCAAGAGGTCCATCGATCGAGAGGGACAGCATTGCACTTCGACGTTTTGAGTCTTAAATTCGCCAGCGTCCTGGCAAGCGCGAGTATACGGGCTAGCACGAGATATCCCCGCCGCCTCCACACCACAACCCCCACATCATCAGCGCATGCCCGAATGCAACCACGCTTCTTGGCGTCTACATGCATGGTGATATCTTCGAGAAACGGGTTAATCGCAAAGATGAAGACTGTGCCGCTCAGAGGGCATCCTTGCAAAACCCCTGAGTGCATCCAATAAATGAGCTCAACCATGCACGCGACGTCAAAGTAGCAAGGATTCAGGCGGTAGAGCACAGACACTGCGAGGAGGAATCCCGACGGCAGCCCGTAACACCTAAGGCTCATGAGCATCCACTCTTGCCTCACCGAGGGGAAGTCTTGCGCAAAGTCGAACGACAGAAGCGACGACGGCGACACCATAGCCCCATGATCATTCGCCTTCCCCTCACAAGGCGCTCCCGACTGCGGGCGACATGCGCACGAATTGACACTAGCCATGCGTGCTACCGTGTCGAGGTCAAGAATGATGTTCACAAAATTCCACCCTGGGATGAACCCCCTCTGGCATCGCGCTGCCAGCCCGCGCACAGCCGAGGAGATCGCTCGAGTTAAAGTACCCCCTAAAACTTTGTTGGCCGTATTCTTCAAACCTAGCGGGCGAGTATGCCCAGCAGAACACCGCTAGCGATTCTGAAAACCACAAGGGCATCGGGCCGCCAGCCATAATCCAGAGCAGACAATTGTAGAGAATCTGGGTTCCATGACCCACTCGCCAGGCCCAGAAGTGAACACCATCGGGCCCCGGGGCACTATCGGAGGAGCGAGCGAGGAAGGAGCGGAGGAGCCGAAGAGTCGGGGGAGGGAGGGAGGAGAAATCACGGCTGGACTTGAACGGCTCAGTATATCCTTCGGCTGCCCGTGGAACGGGAGAGCACTCCTCGAAGACTGGGCGCCAGTACTGCGTGAGAGCCTCGAGGTTACCTGCAGGGCCCACCGCGCTCGGCTCTGTAGCGCCAGAGCTTTCGGTTGCCGAGGTGATGCAGGCCAAATACTTTCGCCGTCAGAACGGGTTCCAGAACTGCGCGCGCCGACCTGCCGCCGACTTCCTGCCAAGCGCGCGCTGGCGCCGCCCGGGGCAAACAGCTTCCTCGGCTTCCTTTTCAGAACGTTCCTTCCTACGGCCTGCCTCCTGCAGCTGGAGGCCCGCGTGCAGCTCGTTGAATTTGGCGGGGTCCGCTAGCGAAACCTCGCCGCCAGCCGAAAACAACAGCACAACTCTAGTCCAAGGGTGATGCGCGCGGAGAGCGCGTGCCAGCCGTGTATCCTGCCTATACATCGCTCTCGCAATAGACCGGGCCACCATCGCACGCGACTCAAGACGGCGCGGCTGCTGCTCGAGCTGCAAATCGCGAGTCGCCACTCCCGCGAGCTGTCGACAGAGGACCGCAAGTCTTAGTTGCTCGGGCGGGTCGCAGAGTTCAAAGTCGAGCTGAGCCTCGTAAGCATTGACCATGTCAGCATACACAGGGTCCGAATAGAGGTGGAGAGGGAGGGGGCGAGGCCGATCCGAACGAGGAGGCGGGCGATCAGAGAAAACGAGGGAGACGGGGGAATGGTCGCTGACACCACCGAGATGCAGCTCCTCAGGCTCGGCGTGAGACTGAACCGCCTGCCAGCCTTGGCAAAGAAGCCAAGGCGGGGTGGTAGTGAACGACCTGTCCACGTAGGCCGATTGCTCGAAATCTCTGTGAGCTGCCTCCAGAGTGCTCGCCACGCAGCGTCCCCAGGGCGGCTCTGGCCGATAGACGGCCCACTAGTGCCCGGCGCGATCCAGGGAGCGAGGGTGCGCTCGCGCCCCGAATTGCAGATGTTAAAATCGCCCTGCAGCAGGCCGAACTTAAAGGGAGCACTCCGCACCGCGGCAAGCTGCTGCCGAATGTGGGAGCACACGCGTTTGATAGCCTCAGCAGCTAGGTCGAAGTTGTGGACATTCCAATGCCACAAGCAAAAAGTTGAACGCACATTTATAATTTGGGTCGACAGGACCCTGCCGCGAACAAAAACTTCGGAAGAAACTTCCAGGGGGCAATTCGGCAGGGCCCTCGGGACCAAGGTGGCAACTCCACCCTTAGGAGTCCCGGCCTCGACCTCGAAAGGGCCAGGGTCCTCATCGAAGGACGCAAAAACGTGGTGAGTTAAACTAGCACGCTGAATGGCTTCGGTGATCACGTCGTGACCACCGTGCGTCTCCTGAAGAGCCAGGACGGTGTGAGAAGAGAAGGGGAGGGAGGAGGAGGCCAGCTCCGATAGAAGCCGAAGCCGGCACGCAAGACCTTCAGGATCATGATGGCATAGGGCACTGCAGTTCCACTGGACGAACTTCCGTGGAGGGAGGAGGAAGAGGAAGAGGAGGAGGAGGAGGAGGAGGAGGAGGAGGAGGAGGATGAGGATGAGGAGGAGGAGGAGGAGGAGGAGGGAGGAAGAGGAGGAGGAGGAGGAGAGGAGGAGGAGGAGGGAGGAGGAGGGAGGAGGAGGAGGAGGAGGAGGAGGGAGGAGGAGGAGGAGGAGGAGGAGGGAGGAGGAGGAGGAGGAGGGAGGAGGAGGGAGGAGGAGAGGAGGAGGAGGGAGAGGAGGAGGAGGAGGAGGAGGAGGAGGGAGGAGGAGGAGAGGAGGGGAGGAGGAGGGAGGAGGAGGAGGAAGGAGGAGGAGGAGGAGGAGGAGGAGGAGGAGGAGGAGGGAGGAGGGAGGAGGAGGGAGGAGGGAGGAGGGAGGAGGGAGGAGGAGGGAGGAGGAGGGAGGAGGAGGGAGGAGGAGGGAGGAGGGAGGAGGGAGGAGGGAGGAGGAGGAGGCCTCGTGGAGAGCCGGCCAGCGAGAGAGGGCGTCCATCACCACGGGCAGCGGCCGGGGCAAGAAGCCCAGAGGGGCCGAGCAGAGCACGGAGCGCCCACGAGGCGCCCACGGGTGGCGGCAGGGCCGCAGAGTCCAAAAGTCTGCACGCCGAGCACGCATAGCCCAGATAAGAGCCCCCAGGTATCCCCAGCTGCACGCACTCTCTGGACAAAACGGGGGAGGGAGCGAAAGGAGGTGCGAGGAAGAATGGCGATGAGGAGGAAAGGGAGAAGAAGAGGGCGACGAATCTCAACACGTGTATTGCTACGGCCACCCTGCCACCAACATCTGATCTCTGATGGTAACCTGCTCCACACGAACGCTTGCTCCACACGAGCACCTGGCGTTTGCGAGTGGTGTCGCCTTGTTGCGCGCGATCCGTACTCCTTGATTTTCCCTTCCTTCCGTCCTCCACCTCCACCTCCACCTCTACACCTCCCTTCCTGTCCCTTCTGTTTTTCCACCTCCACCTCTACCCTCCGAACTCCAGCATCCACCAGCTCAGTACTCCGACTTCACTTTTTCAGCATTCGGGTCACGAGCTCTACCTCCACCACTACCAGTGGACCTCCAGCCGTCAGCAGCACAGCACTACAACCTCAACGTTCAAGCAGCAGACTCTGCACCTCCACCTATCGACCTCCAGCTTCCACCACCTCCACCTATCGACCCTCAGCCTCCAACAGCCACCTATCCACCTCCACCTCTACCTTTCGAACTCCAGGGCCCATCAACTCAGCATTCCGACCTCAATTCTTCGGTATTCGAGTCTTCACCTCCACCACAGCAGGTGGATCCCCAACCTCCAGCAGCACAGCACTCCGACCTCCACTCTCAAGCAGCAGACTTTGCACCTCCACCTATTGAACTCCAACTTCCACCACCGCCACCTATCGACCCTCAGCCTCAAGCAGCCACTTATCCACTTACACCTCTACCTTCCGACCTCCAGCGTTCACCTCCTTCTCCTCGCCCTCCTCCTCCTCGTCCTGAACCTCCTCCTCCTCCTCATCATCATCATCATCGTTCCCCTCCTCCTTGTCCTCGTCCTCCTTGTCCTCCCCGTCCTTTGAGCTCTGTGACAAGTCTTTGGCTCGATCGTGGGACGTCGAGACGCAATCAGCAATGTCGAGACCGCCCCTGACGACCGCAAAGGGCCCCAGGCCTCTCTTGTGGCCTTAATCGGTCGTGTCGGGGTGTTCGGGGCTCCTCGTTGACGCCGCTTCAGCCGTCAGGGTGCCGTCTGGTGCCGTCACGGGGCACGGTTGGGAGCCTCTGGAGCCGCAGCGGGGCAGTCTTGGGGACCTCTAGGACGAGCCTGCACCGTCGAGAAACTGAACGGTGGCCAAAAACCCCGGAGAAACCATGGGATAAGCTAGGAGTTGAGCCTCTGGGGCCTTGTGGGAAGCCTCGAGGAAGCCTCTTTTGCTGGCGAGGTGGCCTGGAGAGCTGTCATGGGGCGATCGTCGGCGTCGCGCAGGCCTGGAAGCGCCTCTGGCGGCTCGTGGAGCCTACTTGGGGGCGCTGGTCCTCCCATGCGGAGCCGTCTTGGATCTCAATTGGGAGCCCCAGGGGCCCGAACCACATCGGTCTGGGCGTCCTCCTGGGCTGCCGTGCAGCGGGGAAAAACAATGAGACAAAACAAGGAGCAAAGCCTCAGAGAGCCCTCCGGGGGACCCAGAAAAAAAAACAGAGACTGAATGTGACCGCGCGGCGGCCGGTAGGGCCGGTAGGGCCGGTAGGGCCGGTAGGGCTGGTAGGGCCAGAAGGGCCGGCAGGGCCAGTAGGGCCGGTAGTAGGGCCGGTACAGGGCCGGTATAATTAAGGACGGTAGGGCCGGCAGGGCTGGCAGGGCCGGCCCGTAGGCCCGGTAGGGCCGGCAGGGCCGGTAAGGCCGGCAGGGCCGGTAGGGGCCAGTAGGGCCGGTAGGGGCCAGAAGGGCCAATAGGGCCAGTAGGGCCGGTAGAGCCGGTAGGGCCGGTAAGGCCGGCAGGGCCGGCAGAGCCGATCATAAGGCCGGTAGGGCCGGTATACGGCCGGTAGGGAGGGCCGGCAGATATGGCCGGTACGCGCTCGGACCAGGATTCCGAGGCGGATCTGGCGGTGGCGACGAGGGCCTCCCAGGACCCAGACCCCCGACGTCGTGATTGTTTCACGACGTCGACCCCCAGAGGTCTGGACCCCTTCCCCGGGACCGGTTTTTCGTTCTGAGTCGTTTTTTGACGGTCCCGAAGGCCGGTAAGGGCCCCCAGAGGCCGAAAATCGCGAAAAACCTCCCGTCGCGATTTTTTCACAACGCGAGGGGGTCGAGGGCGGCGGGGGAGGAGGAGGAGGGCGGCGGGGTCGCGATTTTTTCACAACGCGAGGGAGGCCCCCCAAAGGGGGAGAACGGGTGGAGGGCAGCGGTATGGGTTCCTTTCCCTGCTCTCTTGGCGGGCTCGAGGCTCGGCCGCCTCGGCGGCGCCGGGGGAGGCCGAGAGCGCCACCGCCGAGCGTGCCCGCGGCCTTCGGGAGGGGGCGCACAGAGTGCCTCCTCCGCAGCAGCAGCCTCGCTCTCGCCGCTGCGACGGGCATGCCTCGGTCCTCTGAGCCTCCACCGCCTCTGGGGAGGAAAAGGTGCCCATACCGCTACCCTCTACCCGTTTTCCCCTTTCTGGGCCTCCTGGGAGGCCCTCGTCGCCACCGCTGGATTCGCCTCAGAACCCTGGTCAGAACGCACCCCAGCAGAGGTCTGGGGAATAGAGGTATCGGTACCTCTGGGCTTCCTCATCGCCTCCGCTTTCCTCTCGGGCGCTCTGTGCCGAGAGGGGCGCGAGAGGTAGGCTTCACGACGCTGCAGCAGCTTCGTGACGCTGCTGGGTTACCTATCTTCGCGCACCGCGCTCCGCGATGCGCGATCATCTTGGCGCTCGCGGGCCGCCCCTCTTTGGAGAACGGTGAGGACTCTGGCTCAGTCCGCGACGTACAAAGTGCGATTATTTTCAAGCCCGCGCAGGTGATCTTTCGATCATCGGGCGCACCAGCGCGACATTACGACTCGGGTAAGAGCGTGCTTGCAGCTTTCCGCACAGGCGTGCACATGGCGCCGCAGTGCACGCTGTTGGGAGGCAAGGGTCTAGATCAACTAGCACATCCTGTTCGACCGTCCAGATGCATTGTAGGTGTACTTTGCAGGTGATCAGGCAAACATCTTACATTAACCAGTGTGGAGCGCGTGCCAGCGCTGTCACGTAGCCCCCAAGCGAAATCGAAGCACAGCACGAACAACACGAACTCCACTTCGGGCGTAAGCGAGCACGAGCCAAAACAGCAATGGTTTGAGCCATCTTCGAACTTAGTTCTAAGTCGTTAGGCGGAGGGAGAGGAGGGAGGGGAGCAGAAACAAGGAGGACGGGTACGAGCATCACGGGAAGAGAAGAGGAGCAGGATAGGGAGCCCGATAGGGCCGTGAAAGAACAGGAGAAACATCTGCAGAAGCGTTGGGAGAATCGTGAGTTGTGAAGACATCTGAGGCGAGGGTGCGATGCTGACAACGATCTACCTTTCATCCTCGTGCATGGGGTAGAAGTTGTAAGTGGGGGCGGGGAGCGCGGGAGGGGAAGGAGAATTGGCAGGGGGGAGCGGGAGGGGTTGGGGGGAGCCGAAAGGGCAGCAGGACAACACAGAAAGAAGCTACATTTTCACGTTAAACTGAGGTTTGGGGCATATGTTGGTCCTCCTCCTCCTCCTCGTCCTCCTCCTCGTCCTCTTTGCCCCCACGGGGCCTAGGCCAATCGCAAGCCATGCAGAGATGGCGCCGGTTATCCACCAACCCACTCAGGTGAATAGCAGGGCGGCTCAGAACTCTCCTGCACTGCATATCAATTTCTCTCTCTCTCTCTCTCTCGCTCATCATCCCTCTCTCTGTGTCTTTCTGTCTCTCTCGCTCTCCGAAGAGGATCGCTCCTCACGACTGGAAGGATGATAAAGAGGAGGAGGCGGAGGAGGAGGAGGAGGAGCAGGAGGAGGCATGCGCATGGGGATATCGGAGAGGACGCGGGATAGAGATAGAGAGACATACATCGACAAAGAAAGAGGCGCACACACAATCACACTCAAACACGGGGAACAAACAGAGATAGAGAGACAGAGAGAGAGCGGGCTAGGAAAGAAGAGTGGATAGGAGGAGCACGTAAGTGTAGTGCTATGCGTGTGCGTCTGCGCACGTCTAGACACAAAGAGGGAGAGAGAAAAAGAGAGAGAGAGAGAGAGACAGAAAGAGGGACAGCTGGGACTACGGGGTCAACTCCCTGCGCGACTGGAGCGCGCCCTGGTACTACGCTCAGACGGGCCACAGGGCCACGACCGAGCAGCGTGTCCCTGCCTGGGATCGCCAGCACCCCGACACTGGAGTGTGGGAGGAGGCCATCCTCGACGTGGCCACGCGCGACCCCACAACCAACTCCCTGGTCTATGTGGACTGGTCCGTTACCTGCGAACACAGCGACAACAACGCTCGCAGGCAGGCCAGGGCCCGCACGGATGGGGTGGCGGCGGCCCAAGCGGTCGACAGGAAGCGGGCGCGCTACCCCCCTTCCGGCGGGGAGCTGATCCCGGCTGTCTTGGAGTCGGGTGGCCGGCCAGCCGACGAGTTGGTCGCCTTCGTCCGCTCCTACGGCCAGGACTTCCCGGAGGCCGAAAGGTCGGGCGTGATTTCCACCACCTGGAGGAAGATCCAGCGCTGTTTGGCTTTCGGCGACCCGGAGATGCTGCTTAGCGCGATATGAGCCGCCAAGCAGCCCCACAACCACCACCAGCACGACCAACGCGACCACCACCACGACCGCACCTAGCACGCCACCACCGCTTCGACGCGCACGACCGCCACCACGCCCACCTCGACCTGGCCGACAACAACCACCGCGACCACGAACACCTCGACCTGGCCGACAACAACCACCGCGACCACGAGCACCACGACCACCAGAACCACGACCACCGCGACCACCGCGACCACCGACAGCCCGACGACCACCACGACCACAACGACTAGCACGACTAACCCCACGACCACGACCTTCACCACAACTACCACGACGACCACCACGACGACCACCACGACGACCGCCGCCTGCCGACCGCCCCTGGCCTCCTCCCTCTCCCCCTCCCCCTCCCTGCCCCCTGCCGGGCCGCCCCTGCCGCAGCGTGCGCCCCCCGCCTTTCCTCCCCCCTCCCCCCTTCGCCGAATTAATTGACAAGCCGTGCGGGGCCCCTCGCCGAATGCGGCGAGCGCGAAGGAGCGATCGGATCGACCATTCCGGCCGCCCCAGGGGTCCCGTTCGCGGGTGACGGTCCCTTCTGGGAGCCCCTGGGGCCGTGGCGAGAGAAACAGAGAGAGAGAGAGAGAGAGAGAGAGAGAGAACCAGACTGCTAGAGAGAAAAGAAAAAAGATACAGGCAGAAACAACAAACAAAAAACAAGTGGGCGCGACAGCGCTCTCAGGTTTTACGCGGACGTGCTGCGCCAAACTGGCCCCAAAGCGAATACAGGCCGGGAGCGAAGGTCACAGGCGACAGCCTCTCGAATGTTTCCCCAGTTGTTGAATGCGTCCGGCGGCACCATGCGTGACCTTCCGCTCATCGCCATCCCGATCCCGCCTCTCCTCCGCCCTCCTCCTCCTCCTCGCTGCCCTCCTTCTCCTCCGCGTCTCCCTGCTCGTCGTCGTCGTCATCATCCTCCACCTTCTGGGCGACCTCACTCTGCTCCACTTCGTCGTCGTCCTCCTCCTCCTCCTGCTTCTCCTCCTCCTTCTCCTCCTCCTCCTCCTCCTCCTTCTCCGACTCGTTCTCACCCCACCCCCCGCTCGTCCTCACGTTCCTGTCCCACCTTCTCCTGCTCCTGCTCCTCCTCCTCCTCCTCCTCCTCCTCCTTCTGTTGCTGCTGCGGCGGCTGCTGATGCTGCTCCCCCTTCCTCCTCGTCCGCCAACTCCGCCCCCTCCCTATCCGTCATCCGTTTTTCCCCGCCCTTTGTCCTCCATCCTCGGTCATCTCTCCTCCATTATCCTGCCGTTGCCGCTCTTGCCCCTGCTCATCTTTGCTCGGAAGAGCGGAACCTGGACGGACACCTCGTTGAGATTTTTGCTTGGATATTCATAATCCCTGCAACGTGTTCCAAATGTGCCCCATGTTCAAGGGGCTCCGCTGAAACCATGGCGAGGAAGGAGTGTGCCGTTAAGCTAGCAGTAGGGTTATCCTGAAGCAAGGAGGCCGGCCCGCCGGCCGACGCGCGCGCGCGGCCGCAGGCTCGCTCCTTTCCTGTTTCCCTAGAGCCAAACAGCTGCAAAGTAACAGATCTGTCAATCAGTGCAAAAGGAAGGGAGCAAGGGGGGCAGCGGGATGGTGGCGCGGAAAGAATGCATTGACTCCCCCCGCGGCGGGGCGCGTAGTCGCTCCGACCCCCCACCCACCCGGCTTGTACATATGTACAGCCACAGGAACCAACCGCAAAAAACATGTTACGGATCGGCTGTGGTTGCCGAAGGGCAGAAGACCGAAACAATCCAACGAACCCCACCAGAGCTAATCTAATGCCAGCTCATACCACAAAGTTCTTTCACTCCTGGTGCACCCACATCAGCTGGACGTGAGACCAATATCGACGAAAAAGTACTGGTCCTTCATGTACACACTCATATCCGCCAATATTCGCCCCAGCTCTGAGAATAATTCCAATCATCGCTGGCCCGCCAGTTCCATCGATACTGATCTCGCTCTCTTCCTCTGCGGGTGTTCCAGCTATCTGACTTGTCTTTGCCTTGCCCTTGTCAAACGGCTTCACCTTCGGCGTAGGCGGCGGCGGTGGCACGGGCAAGGCGCGATCAGTGTTGAATATATTGTCGTACTCGTTCACGCTGAACCAACGCCAAGTCATGCAATGGTGAGTGATACTCCGATGACGACCCACGTGAACAAATACCCCTGGATGTCGCCGTTGGTGTCCACGCCAGGATGATCCCGCAGCGGGTCCCAGCCGCCGTCGCTCGCGCGGCCGCCTACCTCGTCAACGGGTTCATCGACCCACGCAAGGGACCGATCTCGATCGTGCCACCCGGTGGAAGCCGTCTTCGCGACCTCCGATCGCGTTCGGGGTCGCTGCCCGACGCGGCTGAGCCGGTGGGCACTGGATTGTAAGGCGCAGGCCTGGAGGCCTGCCGCTCGGTCCAACCAGTCCTAGGTCTCGAGGGTGCTCGAGCACTCCGCTGGCCTCTCCACCCCGAAGCGGCAGAGCCGCTCGGGGCTTTGGCATCAGCTGGATGGGGTCACAAGGTCTGTAGGGGGCTGAGCAGCAATCCTCGGCGCGGCTGGGTTAACAGGGGCCGCCAGAGGAGGATCGGCTGTGCCGATCTCCTCCTTCCGGCCCATTATGCGATTGATGAGACCAACTGCATTGTCAGCAACAAAACATCCATAACGGCTAATGGCCAACCGAGTTCTGGCATTGGGAGGAAGCTGAACAGACGTTTGCATGCAATTTACGGCGAGCTGTATCTGCGAGTAGCATCGTCTGACAGCGCCGCGGGCTTCGTTGCCTAAACCGTCAGCCCACGCGTGAATCAGGTCGAACGATTTAATTGCGGACCTGATCCTGCAGTCCAAAGCAGATGCGTCACTCGATTTGTCGTCGCGTGCAATGCCTGTATCACTCGAGTTCCTCTGTGTATGATTTCTGGGAAAAACATCGTTGAGTCCCTCGGCCATGAACAAACTATAACCTCGCGGACAGCCAGAAGTATCCGTCCCCATCGCCCATGAGTGGGGATTCTGCTAACTAAAGGGTTCATCCCATATTCTCTCAACGAGCTCAAACAAGCCAGGTGGCACTTCGTGGATGATATCTTTCTCTAGCGGCAACGCAGCTGCCGCTGCCGATATGGTCAAGTACTCAAGAATAAACTGTACCGCGACGTTGATGGCATCATTCCGATCGTACTCCGTCGCTTCATGTCGCACCGCATCAGACATGCATCCCGAGATGGAAACTAGGTCCAGCCAAAAGGGCAATGTTGCACCTGGGATTTCCATCCCATGCCGCTGCGGCATATAGCCGTCAGTCTGGACGCCTCTCGACGCTCCCGCGAGTTCTTCACGAACCATTATCACTCCGTCAGGCCGGCTGGGCCGGTGACAAAGTCTAGCAATGGCATGATAGTCGATGTCTCCTACGACATTCAAAGCGGGCGCACTAGAGCGTCTCAACTCCTCCGTTAGCGTCTCGATCGTTGGGATAACAACGCCCATTCCTGCCAGGCTTATCTCCCACTGGTCCCAGCACTTTCTGTTGGGTCCCAATGTTTTGGATCAGCGTGGTTCCGATCAAAAACGGTAAGAGTCGGGCATCGAAACGGGCGAGCGCATTGATCCACATCCGGTGTCCGTATCAGCGGCCACCACAGCGCCGCAGTCGGAGCGTTTTCAATACTCGTTGGGGCCTTGTGCTATAACCAACTCATGAAGCGAAGCCTCAACGGCTAGAGCTTCTGAAAATAGGGTTCATGACGCGCTGGCGGCTGAGCCGCAGCGCTATCGGGCACCCAGGTTAGGACAGTTCCAGGCTGTCCATTGGAGAAGGTTCGGCCTCCCTTAGCGAGCTTGATGCGAACGTCGTCATTGTTAGCGACCCATTTACGCTGGTGTTGCTCTGCTTTGTTCAAGTTCTCTAAAGCATCAGCAGAGCTCTTTCTCAGATTCTTCAATCTTTCAGAAATCACGCGCGACTCGGTCTCCTCCCTCGAGGGGTTACGCAAATGAGGAGCTAGCCCCAGGCTTGTCCACGCATCGATCAGGGCATCCTTGCCGCGTCCTGAAAGATAGCTCCTTTGAGCATTGTGTTGGCACTGGACTTGGGTCAGACAATGAAGACAATAGCCTAGCTCGGCACGCACGGAGTGGAGGCTCTTGCATATGAACCTCCCATCGTCGGTCCATGGCTTCTGCGTGATAAGAGCAAGCAGCCCTTCGGTCCGCCTGCAATTGTTGCCAACGACCTGAATCTCTTCTTCAGAGAATACCCACGCACTGATTGAACCAGGCGTGAAAGGCACCTCGTATGCAGTCCATTCTTGGGAGAAAATTAGTAACCAGGCAATTTGTAGTTCAGGGCCCTCGGTCGATCCCAACTCGACAATTCGGGCTATGTCACTGAAACGTGCCTCCTCCGTCGTCAGGAATGCACCACCACGGCGAATTCGATATCGTGGGCGGCCCGTCGCACGCCCATTGAATGCGACAGCGCACTGCCAATTTCCGTTATGTGTAGTCGCGATTCCCCAGAGAGGGGGCGCGATGCCGTTCGGCCACGTTCCCTGAGTAGGAGGTCCCTGTCCCATCGGGACACAACCCGGGCACTGGTAACTCTTGGCAGGCGCGGCCTCGCCATCCTTCCTCTGGCGAAGTCAGTGAGGGATGTGCTCATTGCATTCAGGAGCATCGTGTCTCGTCGGAATCCAGCGAAGGAGTCCGTAGTCAGGTTCCCTGCGTACTCCGTTATTTTTTATTGGGATGCTGAGTTGTTCCCGATTATGTCATTGAGACCATGTTCGTTTCAATGCTTGTTATATGCAACAGATGCCCATGACACTTCGCCATGCCGAACTCATGCGGTGCGCACATTCGCTCTATATTGTAAGCCAAATAAGAGTGTCCTTGGCACGCGCGATAAAATACTGGAACTGGTCGACAAACGCGTTTTTTCTCGTCAACAAGCGCGTTTTTCTCGTCAATGGAGACTATCGCCCTTCCGTTATCCTCATCAACGACTGAGTCGTGTGAGATATCTTAATTGAGAAAACTAGCACAATACATCTTCAACTTTGTGTCTTCAAGAAGATCGAAGTCGCCGGCCTTGGCTCCAAGAGTTTCAACTACACCAGGCAATAACACGGTTAAGCCGTGCACCGCGGGGGCAGTCGTGGCGTATTTCAATCAATCGTTCTCCATATGTGCGATGAGGTCACCGAAGTATACCCATCCTCCAGATGCTCGGGCACATTCCGCGCACTGTCTGGCAATGTATGTCGCGCGTTCCCCAGCGCCAATTGCAGTCGGATGGTTGCGATGACTACGCCTACGCCAGAATTCAGAGCTCCCCAATAGGAGAGAGTTCTTGGCACCTCTTTCCACTTCCTTCTCCGCTTCATCGGCTAAACCGCGAGCGTCAGAGGGCGAAATAAGGGGAGAAAGGGCGGCATCGACCTCCTGCGGTAGGTGGTCTGGCCGATCGTCCGAATCATATCCTGCTCTGAGGAAAAGGATAGCTTGATCGAACTCGTCTCCTGTGATGTCTCCTAGCAATGTAAACACAGAGTCTCGCACCATCCCAGCGTTTTCACTAATTGCATTGCAAGTGCGTCCGCGACTCGCTGCGACGCGGGGTGGCACGGGGCCAGCTCCGTGAGCCTCAATAATTTGCTTCCGAAGCTCATCAGACGTACCTTGGCGCATGTTAACGCGCGCGGCGTTCTCAAGGTGCAAATCCTCTCCGGTAATAGACAGCGTCGCGTGATTTACATTCCTTGTCCGTCCAGGGACATCCTGTTCCCCCGGGCGAAACTGTCTGCGTTCGGGGGGTGG